ACACACACACTCACATTACTTAAGTTACATATACAGCCATAATATTCCAAATGTTGTCCTGAAGTTACTCTTTCAAAGAGGCGTAAAGGTGAAAGCCCTCCAAAATCCTTACCAAACTAATGGGTTCCATCCTTATTTACTTTTTATGTGTTTTCTGCAAAGTAAAACTCCTGTCCCTGGCATCTGTGGATGTTATATCTTTGTGTCTGCAGAAGATTAAACAGAGAAAGGCTCGATTCAGGTGCTATAGCTGAAGTGTTTGAGTTTGCATGTATGCAAATGCAGCAAGCCTTGTGTATGTGAACATCGTACAGCATATAGTATCCCCCCCATATGTGCATCTTTGTGCAAAGTGGGGCAACTTAGATAAAGTTGGGACATTTGAGTTTCTACTTCGGTGGATATTTAGGGCTTAACTTTCTGTCCTAGCTAAGTTCATGATTAATGTTTGTGTCTCTTGTTCAAAGAAGACCTTAGTATGAGAGCCACACCTCAAACATCATTTTATTTAAATTCATCTGCTTGCAAGTTTAAACTTTAGCGTAACATCTTGATGTATGTCTTATATTTAAGCTCTTAATCCCTGTAAAAAATTTTTTTACTGTTTTGCAGCACCATACTTACTTTCATATAAGAAGTACTGGGTTAATTTCTACTCGCATGGAAAATATACTGAAGTCGCACTGTTACAAAAGAGCATGCATGTGCTCTTGGATAAACACACTCACAAACAGCCTGAAATGAACTGCAGCTTAAGTGTAGTGTTTTTCTGATATCACCTCGCGATGGCAAAGTGTCTCACTGCTATCACACCGATTGGGCAGTTTTTGACGCGGCGATGTCTTTTCAAGTCTTCATCTCACATTTTCCTCACTGCTTTGAGATTTTTTTGCCATGCCTACCTCCACTTCTCCCTCTCACCCTCCCTCTTTTTCTTCTTTCTCTCCCTCTGGGATCAATGGATGGCTGGTTGGAGGGCCGGGCAGGGGGTCTGTGGTCAAATTGGCCGTTTCCACACTGTGTTGTGCTGTACCTGCTGACAGAGCTATCAGATAACTGAGCTCCATCCCTCTAGTCCCTGCTGGCAATCTAACTGTATGTGTATTTGTGTAGAGAGAGAGAGAGAGAGAGTGTGTGTGAGAGTGGATTTCAGCTTCTTTGATGTGATATATGGTTTTATTTTTTTATTATTGGTATGGCTTTCTAATTTATGATGATTAGATTTTGCATGCTGTATAGATAAACACACCCACACACACCTCTGCGCACACACAACCAGTGGGTCTGTCTTTGCAGCTGGCTGGAGACTGACCAGAGTCCATAGCTCCCTCTGTTGGCCAGCAGTGAACTACAACCTCTCCCTCCCTCCATCCCTCTTGCTCTCTTCCATGGGCAGCTGTCTTTCTCTTTACATGTGCTTCAGTATTACCTTGTGAGTTTTCCAAATTGTTTTTGTTTTAGTATAACCTCGGTCTAGTAAATTACTCATAATTTGTGAATCTGTAATTATTTTATTTAATTTTTTTTCTTTTTATTAGCAATGAAGATCGGGAAGACAAATCTGAAAGTGCTGTCAAGTGATTCTTACAGTCATGTCATTTTGTTTCAGCAGGAGAGTTTTTTCTAAATAGATTTAACCTCAGTCTAAAGACGTGTTATGACTGGTACCCTGTTGTCCATGGGTGACCTGAGGTCAGCTCCTTAAGTGACCACCTCTTGAATTTGTTAAAGACCGCTTTGACCAGCGTACACACACTCTCACACACACACACACACACACCGCTCGGAATGAACTTGCTGAGACCTATCGAGTGGTGTGATTGATGTCAGTGAGAGTTGCAATGGATAATTCTTCCACAGATGTCACCAGGCCGCCACCGCAGGGTCAAAACACACACACACAAACACACACACACTAGCATACAAAAGACAAGAGTGAGTGCTCAAAGGTGGACAGGGTGTAGTCGCCCTCGTCCACTTATTTACTGCACAGCCCTTGAACACACAGCTTCTATCCCACATTATGGCCTGATTCATTGTTTTGTTTTTGAAAGTTTTTACGCTACTGTTGGTCTTTTACGAAGCCCGTGTTAGTTACTCACAGTGGAAACACGTTTAAACACAGGCAGGATATCTTCCAGGATTTTCTGTCAGGTTTGTGTTGAGGGGTTTGCGTGACAGCCAGGTTTGACCAGTTAGGGAGAGAAGTGGCCTAAAGGGGTCACTGTCAACATACAGACAGACTGAGAACCAATCAATAGTCAAGGGGGAGGGGAGGTGGAGAGGTGGGGTCAGAGAAGGAGGAGAGGAGCAAGGCAGAAAGAGAAAGTCTTGAAATTTTATGAGAGTGTCTATTTCAAACAGGAGAAGGAGAAGCTCTGGAAAGATTTACAGGAGCTGTTCTGACTTTGTCTAATCATGATAACTTTTTTTATGTCCAATGGAACATTTTTTGTTGGAGCTCTGTTCATATAAAAACCTTTTCTCCTTTTTAATTAAACACATTTGTTGTGCTAAAACTGACTGTCATAGACCTACAATCATTTCCTTTTCCATAAATTATACAATTTGACACTTGGGTAGGAAAGTGTCACTAAGGAGAAAGGAAACACAGAAATACGTCACTGTGAAAACAATCAGTTCATCTCAAACAGAAACTCAGATTCATCTTTCAACTCACATTTCTGTTTCTTTAAAATGTTTGTTTGTCATCCTTAAAATATGTAAATCACACATCCATATTTTAACCACTTTCATGGTTTCACTTCCAATAATCATTAGTATTTTTCTTTTCTTTGGAGAATTAATTTTCATGTTTGGAAGATCTTTGAATACATCCAGTGCTGAGCAGAACTGTGTTCCTGTATTGTAATCGCTCTGCACAGATCTGGAGGTGGCAGATGTGTGTGTTTGTGTCTTTTTGTGGGTATATGTGTGTGTTTGTTAGACACAGAGGTTTTGGTAAAGGATTTGTTTGCCCAGTAGTGACGGCAGCATTGATTCACACTCATCTTTGTCGATGCTTATAAGCCCCTGGATACATCATAACTGTGCGTGTGTGTTTGTGTGTGTGCATGTGTGTGTGTGTCTGCTTGTGAACATAAACCTCATAACATATATGTTTACATATGATTCAATGCTCAGACTTTTGTGCAAATGGTGATGTATGTAACACAAGCAGCCAGCAGCAGTGTGTGCATTCACAAGCGTGATATTCCCTCCTTTTGTCGTTTGTGTCTGTTTTGTGTCCATGGATCACATCTCTGTTCACAAAGCTCGGTGTGTTATATGTTATTTTTTCTCATTGCCTCTAAATCAGAACTTCAACAGCTCTTATTGTGCCATAAATTGTAAAGTTGCCACGGAAACATGTATGTGTTCATTAGACGTTATCACTTATTCAGAGAATGTCAGTATTGGTGTCGTGCTGTTACTTTAAGAGAAGAGAGCAGTTTTTGTACTCAAAAGTGTACAGTATACTAATATAAACCAGTAAAGCCAGGCTGTTAAACACTGGCCCCTGTGTTTAGACATGTTTGTGAATATGTCTGAGAGAAAGAGGTTGTAGTTAGTGATGCACACACACACTCACACTCACACACACGCACACACAAACGCACATCAAAGCAGAGATTGGTTTCAGGAAATGTTTTATTATCTGTTCTCTTCCAAAGCTGCTAATCACAACCACTCTCTTTCATCTTTGCATCCCCCCTCTGCTCCCCCCTCCAAATTTCTTTCTCTCTCTCTCTCTTTCTCTCTCTCTCTTCTCCACACTTCTCTCCTCCCCTTCCATCCTGCATGCAGGAGTATCAGAATTGAAAAAATCTGCTGGTAAATGGGAGAAAATTAGTTAGAAAGACAAAAAGAAAAAGAGAGGGAGAGTATGTGCATCCTCATGGCAGGGCAAATCCGAGTCCTTCTGTTTTTCTCCTGAAATTCCTCGTTCTCTCTGTTTCCTCTTCTCGCTGACGCTGAGGAGGAGCGCAGAGCTTATTCTTCTGGAGAACCCCCCCGCTCATGCACCAACAATATCCACATTTGAAGGTGTCAAAAAATACTGAGAATACACAACCTGCTGGTTTGGAGACGGCGGGGAGCTCGCTGAAACAGAGAGCAGCGGGGAAGACCTTATCCCAATCATTCCTGAATCATTCCACAAGAAAGGACAAGGGCCTCGGAATTGCCATAATCCTGTATTTTACTGCTGAGCTGTGATGGGCTCTGCTCTTCCTTGTCTGTGTGTTTGTGTACATGTGCAGGTGTGTGTGTTTGTATGTGTGTGTTTGCTGTGTGGCACATTATTTGGGCTCAGGTTGGGGGTCAAGCTTTACACTCTTTCTTTTGATGCTGTAATTCTCCGGATTGGAGGAGGTTAAATATTTTGCGCACTGTAGCTGAGCTGACAAATTCCATAATTTCTAACTAAGAAGTGTCATTACAGGGGTTGTATTTGTATTTAAAGCTAGGGTTAGTGTTTTTTTCACCAGTTTATCAACATTACATACAAAAAAGAACGACAAGTTTTCTTTTTTTTCATTCATTTGTTCAAATACAGTTTCTCGTTCAGGTGCATCGTGAGAGATAAAGAGGTTAATATTGGACAGACTTTTCAGGAAGACTTTGAGACACAGGGAAAGACAGATTGGCCGTTAAAAACAAAAAGGGAAAAGAAAGAAAGAAAGAAGTAGAGTGGAGTGTCTTGCTTTAAATCCTTCCCTCACCTGTCTCTTTCTCCTCTCCGCTCCCTCCTTTCCTTCCTTCCTCCCTCCCCTCTGTCGCTCTTTGTCTGATCCCTCCCTCTCCACCTGCTCTTCTCTCCTCTCTCTCTCGCTCTCCCTCCGTATCCCCACCCTTCACTCCGCCCCTGCCCGCTGCCATTGGTCAAGCGCTCACCAATCAGAGCAGAACCGGGACCTGAGGGACTGCATATGCAAAATGCTGCTTAATATTCATGAGCTGCTATCGGGGCTTTAAGTCGTTGATTAGGACAGAGGCACAGCTTTCCGTCCCAACTGCCTGGCTGGCTGGCTGTGTGTGTACCTATAGCCCCCCGCTCCCTGGCTCTCACATCCTCAGAGCACGCACACACACACACACACACACGCTCTCCCTCGCATCAACACACACGCAGAGCCGATCAGTGCAGGCTGCGCAGAGCCTGGTAATTGTATTGCTCTTACCAAGCGGAAGGAAGGACCAAGAGAGAGGAAGAGCGGAGGAAGAAGAAGAGGAGGAGAGAGAGGAGAGATATAAAAACTTTGATTTTTTGAATTTTTTTTCTTTTTTCCTGGAGGTGGTTGACATGACAATGACCCGGTATCGCCGATGGATTCGGTAGGACACCCATTATCCGAGTGTTTTTTAATGCACTCCGAACAAGAGTAGGTAAATTTTACCTTTTTTCTCTTTATCTTTTTGATTCATCACTCAACTTGTCATTCGTTGTCATTGACCATTCGTCAGTGTGAGAGCGTGTCTGTCTGTGTGAGTGAGTGTGTTCAAGTGTCTGTGTCTCTGTGTGATGGTATGCAGCCGAGGTGGCCGGCACCATGTCAAGGTTGTTTCTGCTGTCAGGTAGCACTCGTTCACTGTCTGCGTGTGTGTGTGTGTGTGTGTGTGTAAGTCCTTGTGTGTGTCTGTGCATGTGTGTGTGTGTGTGGCTGCAGTATCCGGACAGCAGCTCTTACTCAGTGGGTAGATAAGCAGAATTTCTGTCCCCCCCACCTGAGAGATACACACAGCCACACCTGCACACACCCACATGCACATACACTTCACTTACTAACACACACAAACACACTAATCTGATCGAGCTCACACTCGAAGACTCACTTTCTCCTTCACTTTCTCATGTTTGAAAGTCTGTCTTTTACTTTCACTCAAATTCTTCCCAGGACAAAACAACAACTCGTTCGGAGAGAGTCTATGCGTGTGTATGTCTCTGTGTGTGTTTATGCCTGTGCACGTGAGTTTTTTTATGTGTGTGTTCATCCAAGCAGAGAATCAGCGAGGTAACAGGGCATTGAGGTTACAGGAATAACGCGGAGAGACGGGAGGAGAAGGGCCCATAAGAGAGGAGAGGGAGGAGGAAAGGGGGAGAGCTGCACTCTTAAATGCCAGAGGAGGTAGAATTTCAGACGGGCAGCTCAGCGTGTGGCCCCGCACAGGAATTAGAGACACTTACACACACACACACACACACAGACACACACACAAACAAGCGGGTGCCGCTGAGCTGCTCCTTTCGCCAGCGCTTTGCTCTTTTAGGTGCATGTTGAAGAAGTCGCTCAAAATGCAGATGAACTGATTGGTAGAACGGACAGAAGTGTGTGTGTGTTTTTATGTACACACCAAACAAGGTGTGTTTTATAAAACACACAAAACAGCCAACAAGTCACAGTAGAAAGAGTACAAAATATACTAAAGCACACATGTTGACCTTTTTAAAATCGTAGAGTTAATTGTGAATTTTAAGGTGATGAGAGAGATGAAGGTGGTGAACTGCACCGAAATGCACGTCGAGATGAATTCAACAACGACACTGGTGCTGTCAGAACTGCACTGTTTCGATAAGTGTCGTGATTTTTATAAAAATCTAAATGCTCAGGAAAAAATCTCGGCTAGTTTATTTCCAAATTTAAATCACAAACACTAAATAAGTTATACAAATCACTGCCTCAGTCCAAGTGTCTTACATGTAGAAAACAGGAAAAATCAAGTCAAGGCCAGTGCAGAGTGTTTCTGATGTGTTTCACTAATACGACAGAAAAAGATATTTCCTAAAGAAATGTGTTGTTTAAAGAAGTCTCATCTTTATGTGTGTGTCTGTGTTTGTATGTTTTCACATACATTCTCTCCTGCCTTCTACGTGCTCTACAGAAAAGCACCTTTTTTAATAACAGTAAAAAGTTGTACTGCTGCTGTTTTAATCTGAACTCTTTATTTAATCATTATTTTAGAAACTGTTTAGTTTTTTGTTTCATTTGATTAGATTTGCTTTGAAATCTGGGAGTGTGTAGAGTCACACCCTTGCAAAATTTACTGGACAGAAATGTCCAAAAACAACTCCTTCAGGGGTTTTTACGGACTATATTTTTAAGTTCGTTTTTTGATGTGAACAAAAGAAAATGAACTGAGTTTTTACACTGAGTGTGTTGTGTCCGTTTGTAAGTGACCGAGCCAAGTCCGAATTCACATCATCCTCCACTAAACCCTGGTCACTTTCACCGAAACATTGTGCTTCTACCTTCAGCTGAACGCTGAGTGGTTTTTTAGTGACACCGACAATTTAGGATTTAAAAGAGTGAAGATTACATTTTCACAACACAGGAAAAAAAAGACTTTTTAACCTTTTTAACCGGTTTGGATCCTTTCAGGGTGAAGATGTGGGAAGCATGAGAACTGTGTTTAATTTTGAACAAATTCTTAAAAACACTTTAAGGTTTTCGACACAGAGGAAAAAAAGTGGAACGCTCTCCTTTCCATGTGTGTTTCTGCATGTGCATGTAAACTGGGACAGCTATGCCAGATTTCAGAAAACCCTCTTGTCCATTTTGCATCCGTCTGGCCCCTCTTCATCCATCCATCCCTCCATCCATCCACTGCTCAGTTTTCTCTTCTCAGGCTTTCCCTTCTTTGCTTTCAGGCAGGTTTCCTACATTAATTAAAATATTATGGATAATGATGACCATACTGATAATGATAATCATAATAATAATAATAATAATAACAGCAAGTACCGCTTAAGCTGTTAACATGATTGCATTCCCCTCATGCCACCATATACATACCATTTGCATATGATTAAGAAATATTTCCAACAGTGACTTTAGTGAATTTTGAGCTTTTTGTCAGTGGGTGTGAAGATGACGTGTGGTGAGAATAACTGCGGCCGCTCAGGTCATGCAGAGTGTTTCAGAGACCAAGAGAAACACAGAAGCATATGTGATCGCAGTTCAAATTATTTCAACCCTGATTTTTGTTGAACTGAGGTGTAATGATTCATTTCTGTGACATAAAAATGTTGTGTAAAAAAATGCTGTGGTTAGGGTAAAAATCCAGAAGCCTTAAAAGTCAGACTGAAAATCAGTTTTTGTTTATGTTCTGAACGAATTTCACACTGCATTAGAAATTTCAATATAAAATGATTAAAATGATAAAGTTACTGAGATCATCCTTTTCCATTTTAAGATATTTAATGTTTGTTCAGCTGCACGAAAACAGTACAAATTTTCTTCTTTGTCAGTTGTTGTGCTGCATTTTGTTGTTTCAAGGCATCAGTGAAAGCGGTAACAAGAGATAAATGAATTTGTTTCACTAGATTTCTGGAGCAATGCTTTGACCTTTAAGATTAAATCATGATTTTTTTCCATGTTTTTCCTGAAGCTTTTATGTAAAATGTACATTAACTTAAAAAAAAAACTGAAATCATCAAAGCTCGAGGCCAAACACCTCCACTGTTGGCTCAGGATATCTGTTTTGTGTCATCACAATTTTAAACTGAATCCTCGAAAACACAGCTTTGTAAAAATATAGTTGCTTAAAAAAGAAAAAGAAAAAGATCTGAATTTAAAAACTGCGGAGAGGAACTTTTATGTCATGAAAGAGGCGGAAAATGTGGTTTCCATCTTTGAAATGTACAAATCCTTATTCTATTTCTCTCTGCTTTATATTTTATCCGTCTCTCATGCGCTCTTAAACTCAGGCCAAGAGAGACGGAGGCAGTGAGGAGAGAGAGAGAGGGCGGTGAGAGAGAGAGAGAGAGAGAGAGAAAGAGGGAGAGAGAGGCAAAGCTGAGTGGAGGGAGGGATGCGGGGGCACCAAAGAGAGATTGCGTAAATTAAAATCCTTTTAATCTCCTTATAAAATCATTTACTTAATTCATCTGTCAAAGCATGTCAATATGTGCAGCACTGATTTGTTGGCTGTGTGTGTTTGTGTGTGTGTGTGTGTGTGTGTGTGTGTGTGTGTGTGTGTGTGTGTGTGTGTGTGTGTGTGTGTGTGTGTGTGTGTGTGTGTGTGTGTGTGTGTGTGCATTTGCATCTGTTTGTCGTCATGCAGCAGTTCAAGCTTGCCTGCCCACGATCGGTGTGTGAGTGTGTGACCTATTGGTGGCCCGTATGAGGAGGTGCTGCTCTTCCTCTTTCTGTGTATCTGTTTTCCTCTCTGTCCATCTTTACGGCATCTTCTCCATCACTCCTTTATGCAACGTCCGAGCGACACACAGGCGTGCTCACACACATTCATGCATACGTGGCCTCTTTCTCACGTGAAGGGTTTGGGCATTCCAGCGGTAATTTGGTCCCATAAAGAGAGAGAGAGAGAGAGAGATGCAATGAGAGGGACAGACAGAGAGTGAGAGAGGTGAGGGGAGGGGAGGGGGATGAGATGAGGGGGTTTGCTTTTGTCTGACACCAGCACTTAGGGGTCCGCTGGACACACATGTACGCATGAGCGCACACATGCCTGCGTGACAAATGTGCACGCAAACGCACTTCAACGTATTTGGGGGGGGCATCTACAGCTTTAAAGCAAACAAAGTGTGTTAAAAAAAATACACTCACACATTAATACACTGACATGTAGAGGTATCAGAAGACACACACTCACACAGACACATTTAGTCGGCCTTGAGGATGTGAATTCCTCTGATTGATGCTCAGTCTGTCAGTGTTGTGCACGCTCATGTGCATCATGGGTCCACTCCGGTCTTTATGTGTTGAAAAGCAGGAAGAGGGACTGTCCCAGGACTGACACATGCACACACACACACACACACATGCATATATGCTGCAATTAGCAGTTCTACCACACCAGGCGGGGGGAGCTTATCGTGTTTGTGTGTGTGCGCGCGTGTGATTGAATACCAAAGCTCTGCCTAAAAGAGAAGAGTGTTGTATAGTCAGTTACTCATCTCTTTACGTCTCCTCTCTTTCCCTCTTTCCGTCTTACTCGCTGCTCATCCCTCACAAACCATCTTCCATACGTCAAAATGTGCGTTCATTTATCATTACCAGTATCAAAATCTATCAGATCATCCACACCTCGATGGAGAATCACTCTTTTTTTTTTACACTCATACAGTCTTGTCTGTCTCATTCTTGCCCTTTTCTCGCTCATTTTTAATGCAGGAAAATAAAATACGAGGTTTTTCTCACTGTGTGGATCTCAGTGTCAAACTGGCGTGATTTCTTTTCCTTCTGCAGAATTTTCGCAGCTTGTTTTACAAGTTTGTCACCTTGATTTTGTTTCAAGATACCGGCGACACATTTTTAAAAAAAATTTTATCGGCTTTAGCAGATTTTAGTTCAACGTTACAAAGGTGTTGCTCCAGCTCTTCATTAGGTGTACCAGTGGGGCTTGTGTATGCATACGTGTGTGTTGGGGCATCCGTGTGTGTGTGTGTGTGTGTGTGAGTGTGTGTGCTCATCGTGTCGTGCTCAGGGCTTCCAAAGCTGCCTCTCACCCCTAATGGGAGGAGACAGCAGAGACCGGGCCACAATAGAACAGATTTAGATGGAGAGCTGCCGTGTATATGTGTGTGTGTGAGAGAGAGAGAGTGTAAAGGAGTGTGTGTGTGTGTATGTGTGTGTGTGCATCAGTTAAAGAGGACCAGGAGAACATTGCAGGTTCAAGCATCCCCTCCGTCTTTTTTACTTTTTCTGCGTCTGTGTTTCTCTCCCTCTCTCTCTCCCTCTGTGCCGTGGGGAGCGTCCTATAGATCGGCTGCTCAGATAGTTCTCCCCTCTACATGCTCAGGCTGTGTATCGTATGATTAAATTGTCATTGTTTCGACAGCAATGTGAGGGGCGTTCAAAAAGACAAAAGAGGACAGATACAGTAGAAAAGGACACAGAGAGATTCTGCGTGTGTGTGTGAGAGAGAGAGAGAAATGAATGACCATCCCGCCTTCCGACTGACAGTGAAATATTCCTCCTCTCATCCTCCCATCATGCTTCATGTGTGTGCTTGATGGGGAGAGAATGACAGGCTGGCCCACCACCCCACCTCTCTCATTCGCCTTTTTTTTTACACTCCCTCTCTGCTTCTGACTCTCATCTTTGTGCTCAGTTTGTCCGAAAGTGTGATATTCCAACTTAACCAAACCCACATATCCAGTCATCCCTACACCATACAAATGTTTGCACTCCCGTAACCACTTGGTAAGCAACCATGTTAATTCAACCAGCAGACAGTGAGCTAAAGAAAATCTTAGACTTATTATTTGACAACACAGAGAAACAAGAAAAATGACATCTCATTGTAAGGTAGGTGAACAAAAAAAGTGAAGTCTAGAAGAGGAAAAAAGTACAACACAATTCAGCAAAAGGTTTTTTGTTACTTTTTCCATCAACATGTAAAAGGTATTTTGTCTAAACAAGTAGTATTTGCAAAAGATTTTTTTTAAAACTTAAACTGGTTTCATAAATTAAATTTAGCATTTCTGTAGCCATGTTTGTCTCGAGATGCGACTGCAGTAACATCGATGTGTTGCCTGTTTACAATCAGCGATCTTATCTTCTGCACATCCAAATAAGTGTTGGTGAACGATGTGTCCCTCGATAACAAAAATGTAAATGTAACAGCTGATTTAATCGTTCCTCTCCAGGGGTTTTTAAGGACAGGAAAAAAAATCCTTGTGGAGGACAACAGGTCATTGGACCAAATAATTTAGCTTTGAGACAGACTGTGCACACGTGTGAGGACGCTTGTGCACATGTGCAACACTACCTGTGCAATCATGATAGAAAATAAGAGCTCTCTATGTGGCCTTTGTTTCAGTAGATTTACTCTTCTTGTGTTTAGGGGGGTGCAGTCTTGAAATAAGTGAGTTGTACTTGGGACTTTTTGTTTAAAAAAAGAGGAAATTTAATTTTTATATTTTGATTATAAATTAGATATCATAGATGTCAATCTGGTTTGAAAAAGTGAATCTATTAATCTATTTTGTTGCTTGTGACACGATGGAAAAATATACCTAAAAATACGGAATACAAGAAATGTATATGCAAAGGCGTTTTTCGCGATTAGAGATATTTATTTTTAAATGTCTTCCTACAGCAGTATGATGTGGAAATTAAGTTTTTGTTTGTTCAAATGTTTGCCACTTTTGACATCTGATTTTCGTATAAATGACAAGTTAAAAACTTTTGTCAAAAAAAGAATAAACACAAATGTGTCAATTTAGCTTTTTTAATAAGTAAAAATTTCTCTACACTTTTGCCCCCAGGAAGTGTGTTCCTTTACCCAGCTGACCCGCACTCGTCTTGACCCCTGCAGATAATTCATTTCCCCTTTATCACCGTCTTCCCTCACCATTCACCCCCCCCTCTCACTCACTCCTCTCCTCCCTCCTCACACACCCCTCCCTTGTGGAGCTGTCACCTTTCTGCACCCGCTCAGTCCCTATTAAGGCCGACAGCCCATCTGCCGCCTGCCCCGCTAACAGCTCCCGTCGCTAACGCTAACGCGCACACACATCCACATTCACTCAGACACACAAAGAGATGCGTCTAAACCCCACCTGCCCCGGCGCATCCGGTGGCACGGGGAGAAACGTTGTCAGGCGTATTTGTATGTAAACATCTTTATGCAGTCAGTGATTATCTGATGATCTCATGATGACTTTTAATGTCACACCAACACACACACACACACACACACACACACACACACAGATGTTAGTCAGACATGTTTTTTTACAGATATGTTAGCATCAGATCACACCCATATAATCATTAGATCTACATTTTGAACAGGTGTTGTGTATACATTTTGTGCACTACTTTAACAATCTCAGAGTTTAACAGCAGTGGAATCAAAATTACAGCAAAGTCCTGTTTTTTTATGAAGATGCAAGAAATCAAACAGAATAAAAAGAAACATCTTTTTCTCCATTTGCTTGATTTGTTCGGGCGTTTATTTTTAAAAAATTTTTTCATGATTATCTGAAAGTGAATTTGTTGTCGTGTTTTTTTTTTATTCTGGGCGTTTATCAGCGCTCAGAAGTCACCGTTGTGAGTGTGTGTACGTGTGAAACTACATTTAGCCATGTTTGTGGATATTTATTGCATATGCGGCTGGGAGACTTTGCACTGCCCTGACTAGCGGGGTAATTAGGTAGGGCAGTTGCAGCCCTGCGTGTGTGTGTGTGTGTGTGTGTGAGTGTGAATTTGTGCGTGGGTGTGTGTGTGTGTTGTGGCATTTGCTCCCTTCAGGGATAGGTGCGTTTTGCATTAGCAAGAATGGCAACTGTCTCATCAATCACTGCATCACCATGTCACACACACACATACACACACACACACACACGCATAGACACACATACACATGCATACGCACACTCATACTGTGTCATGGTCATTCTGTTCACAGATGGGCCAGCAACACATGAGCGAGTCACTGAGCATCAGAAAGACACCCGCGATCTCCCCGCTTTCACACACACACACACACACACACAGGCACACACACACACAGAAACCTTTTTACATTCATGTGAGTGTATGTGTGTTTGTGTGCAGTGGTGTCTCTTACTTGTACTGACAGGAGCGTGAAATAGGTTAGGTAGAATCACATAGGTTAATACTCTCTGGCTTTATTCTCTTCTTTTTTCTCTTCATGTCTCTCTAAATATTCATGACCTGAGCTTTTCTCTGAAAACACCTCCTCGGTTTTAAATCTTAAAAATGAGAGCTATCGCTAAATCTTCCACAGTCATTTACAGCATTTAAATTTTCTGCGTGTACATATTTAGTACACTCTGATAATATTTCAGCTCTGTGCTTCTTCTCTTGTACAATCCTCTTTCACTGAAAAGAATAGTCAACTTCTGGATTAAAACAATCGTCTGCAGGTTCAAAGATGCTTTTAAGTCGCTGTTTAATCTTCTAAAATGAAAACATCTGAATGTATCCGATTACCTCGCCATAAGGAATGATGTAATAAAGCAGAATTTCTACTTTTAATCCAGGTTTTTGCGAGTGACAGACTTGAGCTCTTCCAGCTAAACGAAAAGGAGTTTAGTTTTTGAAAATGTGTCTGATTTGATTTATGCCGGACCTTGCTAAACTCTGAAGTTATTGCTGAAATAACATCTTCTGGTTCATAAGCAAGTTTTCTGACCTTCTCAATGTCAGCCCAAATTTACCTCCATTCTTCCCCTATATTGCTTTGTAACAATTTATCCGGCGTAGGACTTCTAGGGCTGGGCAAAAGATTCAAACTACTAGCATGGCGTCTACCTGGCACTGGATGTACCTTAGTAAGGTGCGAGTCCAGACTGCTCCTCAATAAAAAGTGCAGTATTAAGTGTTGCCTGTCTATATAGCATGGTGACACCGCAACCAAAGCCAATAAGTGTTTGAAGCAGCAGCAGCAGCAGCGAGATATCGATTCCTCCTATTCACCAGAGTGGAACTAAAACCTACATATTACACACACTGGTCCTCCACCTCTCGCTGAGCCGACCCAGCTCCGTGGATGCAGGGAGGGACAACTGTCAGACGGGTGATTGGTCCATCTGTCTGTCTGTCTACATGGCTATCACTTAAACAGGAACCCACATCAGGACAAAATCTCGTCTGTGAAGCGTGTTTGTGTGGTAAACGTGTCGATCTATTTGTGACACATACCAACATCTCGCTCTGTTTACTGATACATTCAGCAGAGACAACAGGAATGTGGTAATGACAGAAAAACCAGCAAAACTGAAACACGAACTTAAAGGAAGTCTAATTTATATTTATTTTTAGTAAGTATTTATTAAGCTTCAATACACAGCTTAAAAAGCTCCCCGATGGTTTGGTTTTGATGTTGCGGTTGTCAGTTTTTTTAAAAAAGCAATTATGAAGAAAATATTTAGTTCACAGACTTGCTCAGCGAAGTTTCAATATCAAAAACTAAATTCATAGGAGGATTCCTTCTCTTTGGCTCGGTGTGGGACAGCAAAAAAATATTTTTAACTTGTTTTGCCGAAAATCACACAATACTCAGGACCCTCAGGATGCCTCAAGCGTCACCCGCACACATCTTCTCCACAGTGTACATTGTTTCAGACGGATCAAACATTCTCCGGTTGTGTGGTAAAATCTGTTTTCAGATATCATTTTATCTGGTGTCCGTATTGTGTGTGTCTGTCACAAAAAGCTTTCCCTCCGTACAGCCCTCCTTTGTTCCTCCTCAGTAGTTTTGTTTTAATGTAGGCCACAAAGCCAATTTTATTACACCCCCTGCCGCCTCCCCCTCCTCTTTGACGTCACTTTTAAGTGCTGTCCCTTTTTCCCCCTGAGCCGTGTTATTTCATTTATTTATTTTTGGCAACGGATGATTTTGATTCTGTAGCTCCCGGTGACCTTATCACCCCGACAACAGCTCCTCCCATGATGACAGTGCCAGGATTTGATTGACGGGCAGCGGTCCCTCCTCCAGTGCTTTTACTTTTATACATCCTCTCTCCGAGAGACAGTCTCATTCAACACCAAAACAAATAAAAAGCATCTGACGTTACACACAGGCAGAGTGTGCTTCAATTAGCAGCGTGACGCAGCCAGTGAAGCAGCTGCGTAAGCACAGACAAATGTATTACATCACAGTTTGTGAACACAAAAAAATGTCCTCTAAATTGGTCGACTTTCTGTCTAACTTCCACACATTCGTCACTCTTTGTTATTTTGTGTTTAGGACCGTCTGCATTTTACCCTATCTCCGCAGTCGCGTGCATTTTCAACCATCAGATGTGTCTTCTGCAGTCACTGAAAAAGCGTCTGTTAGTGTGTGTGGTTGTTGTGTGTGCATAAACAAACATTGTTACTTGAAATCACCTCAGTTCATTTGAATTACACGACTTGAATGTTTCGGCGGGTTTTCAAAGTTATATTTATCTGACTTTTTGCCTTTATTTGGAGAGAGTGGGACAGTCAATAGAGCTGGAAATGTGAGGAAAAGTAGGAAGTGACATTCAGGAAAGGAGCCACAGGACACGAGGCCCAGCTTATTTTCTTTTTTTTCTTTTTTTATGTTTATGTAGGATAAAATTTTGTATTTTTATGTCAATCTTAACCTTGATTGAAGCCTTTCCTGCCCTTTCCTTATTTTTTTTTGTGAAAATAAGTTAATAAAAATCTGCAGACTACTCTACAAAAGGACGCATAGAATGAGTTAAAAATGGCAAAAATAAACTGTGTCGTCTTGAAGTGCTTTTTCTGAAGCATTTTCATCTCTACCTGCATAATTCTCCTTTTAAATAGTTAATAACATGCGTCTCTGTGTCTGTGTCACTGACTGTATGTCTCATTTTGCTCCTGCCTGCAGAATGAACTTATCGAAGGGTCCATTGGTGAACAGCAGCAGTGAAGATAACTCCAAGTCAACCTATAGTAAATGCGGCGCTGGCGCCTGGAGGATGCACCAGAGCTACGATCCACTGGAGGCCAACCACATGAGAGACGCACATGCCCTCTACAACCCAAGGTAAGACAGGATGACAAGACAACTAAAGAGAAAAGAGAGGGAGGAAAGAAAAACCACACAAAAAATAAAGACTGTGCATGTGTTTGGTTCAGTTTTACACTAAAGCTACACTTGACCTCCGTAAACCTCAGATGAAAGAGAAAGAAAAGGAAAGCACTTAGAGACATCAAAAGGTAGTGTTTTAGGCTCCGCTTGTGAGTGTGTGAAAGAAAGTGAGTGAGAGAGAGAGAGACAAAGTGAAAGATGTGAAAGATCCATGATCTATTAAATATCAGAGTTTTAGGTTTGACCGATTTGTTTCTTCCTCTTCTCGTACCAACCTTTACAAATAAGCCCCTCTTTACAATTACTTCATGTGACATGTTAGTTTTCACACACTTACACATGAGTCAGTTATACTGTGAAATTCTACCCTTACTTTCTAACTGGCCTACATTGAGTAAACATTTGACTGACAGTTTCATCTTATATTAACAGATAATGGAGAGAACCGTGTACTCGTATTAACTGAATAAGGAGGATGACCTGTTCTGCCTCGGCTCAATTTGTTTTACTTCCAGGGAGCTATGTATGTTTTTAATAATTATTTAACTCTATACTCCCAGAAGCAAAGATTTTGTTTTTAAATAGTGTCTTCATAGTGCTACTACATCACATTTTGAAATCGTCACCTGTACTTCTTTTAACGTTTTGATATTTTTATCCTATATGTGAAGTTCCATGAGAGAGCAGGATTCAACTTCCAGCTCAAGGACACTTCAGTAGTGCAAATGCGTCGCAGCACGGAGTCTTTAAATCATATCATTTGGTTGAAGGACAGTCACTTTAACCATAACAGTAATCCCCCCCATGCCATCTGCATGTACAATAAAGAAACCCAGAGTGAAAAGGGACTCCTCAGTTCTCCGGCAGAATCCCGCTCTATGTTTTCATTGTTCGAGGCAGGTGACAGAGGGGGCTTCCTGCTCTCATTTTTACAACGTAAACTGTAAATATGCGTCTTGTTTTGTGTTGAAACACGGAGAGAAGTGTGAAGCACAGGCACACACTCTCTTTTAATCATTCGTAGTTCCCTAAGGATAAGACATAGAGACGCACGCCCAGATTACCATTCTGTAACAGTAAATGTCGGTCTTGTTCGGGCTTATTGCACTATTATTGCACAATTAAACAGTATAAGAGATAAATAAGCTGAACGCTCAGTTTTTACTATTTTGTCCCATTTTAAAATGCACATGATCCTGTTCTGATGAGCGCAATTGATCTGAAGAGACTCTTAAGGCTGTAGAGCAGCTTTTAAAAACTTCATCTGTAGTTTTATGAGTTTCTTTTTATGTAGACAACAGCGAGTAAATACTAAGTTTCACACACAACTCACAACTAGCCAAACTTTTTTTAGTTTCATGCTTGTTTTTGCTAAAGGAGCATCGCAGCCAATTATAACAGTATTGATTAGTGCGTCGTTGGATATTTTCATAACCTCCTCATTTTTAGTGTGTGTGTCAGCGTGTTCATATGTGTGTAAGTGGCGGTGTGCGCTGCAGACTGGGAAGTCTTAGTCCAATAGGATTTCAGGGTTAGTCTGGGTCAAGCCAATTAGAGGTCTGGCAAACCATTCTCACGCAGACTCTCAGCCAATCACCATGAGGAGGGTTACTCGCACATTGTGTGTGTGTTTGTTGGCAGACAGTGGAGTCTGGTGATGAGAGGTGTAAAGGTTTGCCAAAGGCTGGGGAGTCACGCCATGCCTTGGAAACACAAAACAGAGACACAAAATCAATGTTTGTTTTTCTTAATTGCTGCATTCAGTAAATCAAGACACTCGATCTTAACTGGAAACTCAGCTGCAGAAATTAAAACACTTTACTTTTCACCTGCTTGATATATTAGCGTTCCATTATAACAACTTTCTTGTCTTCTCAGTGGCTTGTGTTAAAAACTTTTAAATATCCTCCCCTACTCAGTTTTTTTTTGCCCTGTTTGTCGCGATGCTTTTGAAGTCTTGTATGAAAAACTTTAAATTGTCTGGTTATTGGAAAATGCATTAGAAAGAAACCTCTCCTAACCAAAGGACAGTTTTCCCCAGTTGGGAAAAAAAAATAATGTATAAACTATATGATTACAACAGGAGCAAAACTTTTCCCTATGTACGTATGGTTATAAAGTGTGACACAGAGTTGATTTGCAGAGTCGCAAACACATGAAACTGAAGCTGCGAGGTGGAATCAGACTACCTCTAATGTGATTCTTCACATGTGTGCTTTTTATGCTGTGACATGTTGATGTAAAACAAAACAGGCCACAGGGAAAGAATAGCTGAAGGTCAGTTTTTTTTTTTCCTCAGACATTAAGTGTAAGATCAAATGAACACTCTCTCCAGGACATCTGACCTCTGACTGTGTTGATAGGATTTATTTGCGCAATGGACATACACACGGTGTCTCGCTCTCTCCCTCTCTCTCTCTGTCATACACACACACACACACAATCCAGCTTGATGGTCTTTTGAAAAATAAATAAATAAAAACAAAAAAATAAATTTCACTTAACTTTATTTCAACATGCATGTCATATTTTTGAATTCAAACAATATTTTTGCTTGATGTTCTTACTCCATGAATAGTCATTATTGGGGGAAGCAAACAATCCTTTAAAAAGTTGATCAAAAACCATTATTTTCTTTGTCTTTTGGACCTTAATCAAAAATATAAACTTTCAAAAATTCTATTTCAAATCCTTAATTTGTTTTTGGGGGACTGCTGTTTTGATTGGACGGCAACAATATTATTCCTATTTTTATTTAGGCCATCAAACCATGGGAATGTGATTAACGTCAGGCAGCCAGGGTGCGCTTCAGTACACACACACACACACACACACACACACACACACACTCGCACATTGCTGTAAACTGAGCCCAATGTAATCATAATGATAAAGCAGATTGCCTTAACACACAGATGGGCCTCCCAACAGCTCTGTGTGTGTATGTGTGAGTTTGTGCATGTGTCTGCGTGTGTGTGGGTGTGTGTTAAGTGTGGACAACGCTGATTGGATTGCAGATTTATAGAAGAGGATTACTGCTGGAGCACAGAGAGAGAACGAGAGGGAGAAAGAGAGGGTTTCAGACACTCACCTCTCATTAACTTCCACCCCCTTCACCTCAACTTGCCTTATTCTCCATCATGGATAAACACATACAGGCCCATACACTTTAAGTGAAATTACATTCAGATTTGTATCTTTACGGTGATGTGTGGATGCAGCATCTTGTTCTCCATGCAATATCAGCAATTGGAGCTTAAGAGTGGGTTTTACCTTTAAAATACAAAGGTAGTTGTTAGCTCTTTGTAATTTGCATTTTTTATGTCGATGAGGAAGCAAAGTTTGAACCCCTGTGATTGCAACAACAAGTAGCTCTGGACAAACATTTATATATGAATAAATAAATGCAACCAAATTATTCAAAACACAGACTTCGTTACATTAACACTAAAGCACAGATGCTAATTTCACTTTTTTTTTTTGCAGAGGAGCTTAATGAAAACAAATCGATCGCTGAATTTGGGTGAAATTTTCAAATACACAAGTGATGCAGGTAGACAGCTACGCTGTAATAAGGGGAGAATAAGAGAATTTTAGACGATCAAATACAGGGTATAAAATGGACGGAAAGAAAGATGCAGGCCAGAAAGCAGGACAGACTGAGGCGGAGACAGTGGGCACTCCAGCAAACCTGATTATGACTGGATGTGAATTAGATTCCCTAACAGATGGTCGGAGAGCGAGGCTGTAAGGTGCATCAGCCAGCAGAGAGGGGGGCGGAAGGGGGAGAGGGGGAGGAAGGAGGGCTGAGGGGGGGGCAGAGCGGTAGAGGAAGCAGAGGGGACGAGTGTCAACAGTAACTGGTTAAGTATCAATTCAGTTCAAAAAGTGCAGAAGTATAATATGTTTGTGTGTCTTTTCTCGCTTTTGAATTATTTCTTATATTGGTTGGATCTGGAAAGTAGTCAAGTATTTTGATTCGTTATGAGACTATTACTCTGTCCTTTTGACCATTAATACCTGAGACGTGATTTAGACGTACAGTCAATCCAATGAACTGTCTCTTTTCTGTAATGTATCAAAAACATTCACACAACATCAAATAGCCTCTGACTTTTCCACCGAATGTGTCTTTCATAGAATATTGGATGCCAAATTGAAAAGAAAGCTGCGATCTGAGCCTGTTTAGGATGGATTTTCAACATTTTACTGATGCTGTGCATTACTGTACATACTCCAGCTCTGCTTGGCTCTCTCTCTCCCTGTGATGGATAGGTGTAAATCATCACAATCCTGTTCTGACAGCCCAATTTCCCCAAATCTGATCTGCTTAAAGAATGCAGCTTTGACGCTGTCTTCACTTATGTCTCCTCTCCTCTCCTCTCCTCTCTTCTCCTCTACTCTCCTTTCCTTTCCTCTCCTCTCCTCTCCTCTCCTCTCTTTTAACATTTTTCTTTAAACTCTCTTCCTTTTTGTCTTTTCATCATTTGCAGCATTTTGCTTGTTTCTGCTTTTCCCATTCCCTCCTTGTCCATTTCGCTCCTCCTCCCCTCCTCCCATCTCTCTTTTTCTGTCTCCCTCCCATGTCACATTTGAAAGCCCTGTCATATTTACTAGAGTGGAAATCCTCTTTTACCATCTGCTTAATAAAATGTGTTTTTAATCCGATCCAGGATATTTTGTTTTTTAAAACACTTTTTATCCCCTGTACAATTTCATTTGATACAGCACCTAGCCCAGGTCTATCTGTCTGATCGAGAGACGGTGGAGTGGAGTGGAGTGTGATGTCTCACTGTGAAGGAACGGATGAATGTGAAGGTTTGCCTTTTAGCGTGTGTGCATGTGAGTCTGTGTCAATGGCAAGTTTGTGGAAGTGTGCGGAAGTCCCTCTTTCTTAGTGATAACACCGTTAATCCACTCAAATAGCCCTTTCCATACTCACACATACACATGAAGAAAGAAAGAGCAACCATATTCCTGATTCAGTGACTCTTCTTTCATAAAGGAACCAGGTTTGAACGTACAGTATCAGGGCTGTCAATTAATATTCTTAATTTGAATATTGAAAAAAAAAATGAGATTCGAATGTGAAAATGTATATTAGAATATTAAATAAACATCAGGAAAAAACTGAGAAAGAAAAATAAATAAATAAATTAACTAAAAAAAAAATTTAGGAGTTGCGTTTGGAAATTCTTCAGATTTTTGGCAGGCACGGTAGACGGGAAAAATGCTAAGTGAGATAAAGTTACATGCAATCTGTGTGAGCTAGATATTCGAATATGTTCGAACCTATGTGTTATTTTTAGGACGAATATTCGAACATCATTTTGGAGCAATTTTGACAGCCCTATACCATATATCGTCTAACCTGTTAACATTATGATAATATTCATTTTTAATACACATTTTTTTATACGGCTTGCATCTGTTTGTTTGTTTTTTGTATGTTAATTAGATATAATTTCAAATCGACTTTTTTTTTCCTGTCAAAGGTGTGTCACCTTATGTTTTATGTTTGCTACATGGAGCGTCATCCATAGAGGCTCACCTGAAATACACAGCTTTCATCAACTTCATTGTTTTCCACTCCCTAGCTACTCACTCCACTAAAAGGCTGGAGGTCACTACAAGAACACAGACCGATCCAGATCCAAAAACAAATTGAATTAAACATCCCATTTTACATTTATCGGATAAATACCTGAATGAAGTTAACCGGCGAACTGTTGTACCACTGGTGTGCAACATACTGGAGGTTTTAGAGGCTCGGAGCTGAGTTCTTACAGTAGACACCCACCACTACAAACACAATGACACACGGCAGATAAAGGAGACAGAAAGAGAGAGAGGAAGGCAAGGAGAGAGAGACAAAGAGAGAGGTATATATAGAGAGAGAGACATGGTGACAAAGATAGTGCCTGGCAGCAACACACTTATCAGCTAGTGCTGTGCTAGAAAATGACCTAAATCATCAAGATTCCCATCTGACACACTCACACAAACACACATACTCATACCCACAAATACACAGGGTTGGAGGTGCACTGCTCGCTCTGAACGAGCTCAACCTCTTCATATCTTTTTGGAGAAATAACAACATCTCCAGTCAGGCCCTCAAACCGAAATCACCTTTCATACAGTTCAAGGAAGACTTTGAGGGGGGAAAGGATTTCTCTTCATATTTGGTTTATAATCAAGTTTTCTGAGAAGGAAAAGAAAGAGGAACAGACAGGAGGAAAAGACGGTACATGAAAGCACATTGATATATAACATGATACTCCCGAATAGTTTGCAGGCTGCTGTTTGGATAGCACATAATTCTTAATCAATTGTGTTTGGCTGAGCCTGCCCTGTGGGTGCTGTCTCCCACTGGTTATCCATTCACATCTAGTGTGTGTGTATGTGTATGTGTGTGCGTGGGTGTGTGTGTAAACTTTATAAACCCCAGGATGCATCATAACAGCTTTAGCCCCTCTAGTGTGCCTCTGTAGGTCCTACCCAATTCATTTCACACCTGTGTATGTGTTTGTTGATGCTCGCGCACTGTTTAAATTCATACCTGGAGGATTCATAATGTCTAAATACAGAGAGACACGTACACGCAGGAATATAGACACAAACACACACATTTCCCTTCCTCTGCCGGTCTTTACAGCCCAACAGCCCATTGGGCAGAATGTGTTTTAGCCATTATCACATTGATTGTATGTAATCAGGGGTTTATTCTGCAGCCAATGAAGTGAATTACAGGTTTCCTGCCCGACTAACACTGTAACAATTGATCTGCTCCCTGGTGTGTATGTGTGTGTGTGTTTGTACTTGTGTGGGGTGTAAGGTGGTGTGTGTGGGTGCTGGAGAAAGAGAGTGGAGCAATGATAGAGTGTGTTTATGTGTGAGAAGTAGAAACAACTATAGAAAGAAAAAAAAGAGAAAGAGGGATTGAGACCCAAAGAGAGCAGGAAGGAGAGGGCGAGAGAGAGCTCAGTAGGAGGGAGAGTGGTTTAGATTGACTGTCTCTGCGTGAGTTTTTATTTCTTATTTTATTCATTTTCCTCCCTGAAAACAACTATAATCATCCCCACACTGTGAGACTGCGAAGCTAAACTCAAACACACACAATTTTCTCTCTCTTTCGGTCTCTCCTCCGCCTTTAAACTTACACTTGTCAGCCTGTACACTTGTAAAAGTACATATTCAATTACTACTTGTCCATAAAATTGCACAAATAATGGCGCACAGTTTGTTTGTGTTTTCCTCCTCCCATCTAGCCCCAGTAAAAAAAAAAGGTACTCTTGTTGTAATTCTGTAACTTCCTTTATTCATTTCAGCGGTTAAAGCCTACAAGTCAAGTTTACCCGTGTATCTTTGAGTGGGCGCACACTCACCAGTGTATGTATCGACCTTAAGAGGCCGACAAGCGGTTCAACAACCCTCCACAGATAGTCGAGCACTGAAAAGGGGGTAAAATACAGACAGGGAAAGAGCAAAGAAAGAAAAATAAACAGACAAGTGTGGAGGCTAAAAAAGCAATTCAGCTGATTGATGAAATCGTTCTATTCATTTGACTATGGAAATGTAAATGCATTTTTTGCTCTGTTTCCCCTCCTCACACCATTCTTTAATTCAATGTATTTTCCTGCCCAAAGCATTGCCGGTATCATCTAGATAGAATTGTGTAAGGTTTTCTCCCCCTCTCTTTTTTTTTTTTTCCTTTTTGCTTATTGGACTGTGTGTTCTTATCAGCACTGAGAGCACAATGCTTGGTGTGATGGAAAGGTATTAGCCAACCTGCTGTAGCTACATTGTCAGCACTTCTCCCTTCGCTGTCTCTACTGCCACCTCCTCTCTGTCCTCCCTCTTTTTCCCTCTCTGCTCCTACACCTGGCTCATTTTTAACATTTTTCTATGGGAATTATGTTTTATAAATAAAAGATTTATAATTTGCGTCATTCCTCTACATACGCATTAACTGAAAGTTGACGTGATGTAGCTTGATGACATTTTGATTTGTTTTTTATTTGTCATCATCCAAATAAAATATGGGCTTTTCTTGCATCTTGGCAGCATACTTAAGTGTGTTGAAAAAATTTCTCTATATTTTTTTACTATATATTTTTTTGAAGATAAGATTTTTACTCATAAAAGAAATGCTGAGATCTATTGACATGCCAACAGCAACAGAAATGTCCAGAAAAGCAGGCAGCATGAGCAGTCAGAAAGTCAAACAGATCGAGCAGAAACAGGCTGCATCTTCATTTTTGATTTGGAGTAAAAGATCTGAAACATATAAAGTCTGCAAATCTTTCTAAACCAGTTTTTCTCTTCCTTTTTTCTTTACTTTTCTACCCTTTTTCTTCTCTATCTTCTTCTCCATACCCCGAGGTGGGACAAAAGTAGTTAGGAGTTGTTTGAGGACCAGTTTGTGTTTATGGCTGCCATCTAGCGAGGCAGTGGTACAAAGATAGTATATAATAAAAGTGTGAGAGTGCACACAGAAGCACAGACCAAAGGAGCACACAGGGAACAGCAGTGGGACACACAGCGAGGCAGAGAGTAGTTTCTTTAATACGATGATTGTATGTTTGTCCCTGCCAGTTGTCAGAGCGCTGCCTCAGCCCACCGCTCTAATGACAGCTTGTCATACTAAAGTGTCCCACCTTCCTTCAAAACACGCAGAATAAAACCTTCTTTTTCTTTACTTTCCTATTGTTGCTCCCTCTCTCCGTGTGTCCAACATATTTATCTCTCTTTCATGAGTCACTGTGTCTTTCCAAATCGTGAGAGGAAAAAAAAAAAGAGGGGGAAGAGAAAGAGAAAATGACAGGGATCGAGCTGGAAATGGAGACAAGGGAAGGTGGTAATCTTTCTTGTGTGTGTGTGTGTGTGTGTGTGTGTGTGTGTGTGTGTGTGTGTGTGTGTGTGTGTGTGTGTGTGTGTGTGTGTGTGTGTGTGTGTGTGTGTGTGTGTGTTTAAGGGACAGGTAAATAGGCCTGCTGAATATTTGATGTCTGCAGGAACTTAACAGCCACTTTTATCTCTTTGCCCTGGCTGTTTGGGAAACAGTCTCACATCTAGTTGGTGTCACGCTCACTGTTTGTGTGAGTTCGCTTTTATCATGGGCACACATACTAAATGATAAAAGGGGGTGAAATAATTCACCCCCTTTATTCAAGAATAAAGTTCTTACTCAAAAAAATAGTGATCAGGTCTGATGTAAAGTTTTCCAAAAAGCTGAAAATGAAGGTTTGAAAGAAGAACAGTTACCTGGAATTAAGTTCACTTTTTTAATGTCAGATGCTACGAACGAAGACTGCAGTTTACTTTTTTTTATCAGTGTAGTTGAGTTCCCATCACTTGAGGTGAAAATCCTTAAACAATTTAAAAGAGACTTTCTATAAGACACAATATGATGAAGTAAAGGGAAGTAAAAAGAAAACAAAATGTTTTAATTCATCAGCCAGACTGATTCGTCAGGCCGATCAGTGGCTTTTTTAAAAGATATGCATTCGCTGATATCGGGGCTCATGAGGCTGAGTTGAAAGAAATTAAAGACAGAATATCTGCAGACACTGCAGGCATTTTGTCAGAGTCCCTGGTGTTCAGCAATGTAGACCTCCTCTTAAATGATAACATGATTGTCTTATTCTTAATCACAGCAGATCAAATGTAACTCTCACTGAAAATTGTTGAATACATATTCTGTTAGGATGTGTAGGATAATGGGGTTTAGTAATAGCTCTGATTTAAATATGTTAGAGCACAGCCTAACGCATTTACTATTTTATGAACTCAAAATCCACCTAAAATATAGATTCATGTCTGGCCAAGACAGCCAAGTGTAGATTGTAATGTGCGCAGAATAATGTTTTTTTTATAATCATTTTATTGTTTTATTAAATGCAAAAAAACCAAAAGTGATATTGGCCATTGGTAGGCCTGCTCTGTATTTATCATCATTGGTATCAGCCATTGAAAAAGTGATGTAGGTCCATCACTGTCAGAATGTAAAGAAGGAAAAAAAGAGAAGAAAACATTGAAAACTCATTTCCTTATACAAAACTGAATAAAAAAAAAAAGCTAGGCATAAGATTTGGTTACAGCTCTTCCTTGTATTTGAAATCACCTCATTACACCCCACTTATATCTTCTACATTTGTTAAAATAATGACAAAAACAAACGCCCTCAACTTTATGCCATTCTCTCTTAATCATTTTAAAGTGCTGGAAACAAAGAGTTGGTGAAAAAAGAGAGAGAGAGAGGGAGAGAAAGCCGGTCTCTTCCCTCTCTTTCTCTCTGCACACTCATCTGAAGAGCAGACAGGCACAATAAGACTGCTCTTTCAGCACTGAGCCGTCGTTACATAGCGCCATAATTATACTGATAACATACATACATAAATGCATTCAACCTCTCGCTCAGCGCAGCGCACTGCCTGTGATTTCTTAATCTTCTTCCCTCTTCTCTCCTCCTCTCAACGCATGTCTTCTTTTTTATTCCTTTTATTCCTCCCCCTTTGACTGCCATTATTTTTCATTTATAAGCAGAGTGGGAGAAAAGGAGATGATAGAGGTAAAGAGGGGGAGAGAGAGAGGGAAAGGAGGAGGATGGGAAAAAGAAGACGGGAAAAGAGAGAGATGGATGAGAATTTGAGAGAGAGAAAGAAAAAGAGCGCTTGAGATCTTTTTGCACTTAAACTCTTTCACTTAATGGTACTCTGAGGGATTGACGGTCGAAGGGAGGGAGCATAAAAGAGCATAAAGAGTGAAAAAGGAGAGATTAAATCATCACCATCACATCATCATCTTAAATGGCTCTACTCTCTTTTCCTGTCACCGCTGTATTTTCTCTCCCTGTGCTGGAACATAGACAAACCTGTGTGATCCCTCAACGTCTCATCACTCTTCCCCACATTTACATTCATTTTGCCATCTTTTATTCTAGTCTCTCTCTCATTCTTTCTTCCTCTCCAGCGACTCTTTCTCTCCTTTTTTTTTTTCTTAACCTCACTTCCTCTCACTTGATTTGTGTCCAAATCTTTCCCACTGTCCCTTTCATCCCAAACTGAAGGCCCACCTTAGCATCAGATAAATGGATTTATAGACATTGGTGAATACCACAAAGCCACGATTAATGGAGTCACTGAATTAGATGAAACTGCAGGAAGCGGAGGGAAGAGGAGGTGGTGGGAATAAAATATATGATGAAAAAAGGATGGGGGGGCCAAAAGGCCAGAGTATTGTACATTATAAATGTCATGTCACTTTATGAAAGGAAAAATGGACTTTAAAAAAGCACTGGAATTCTGGGAAAAAGGGTGTATTTGCCTCACAGTATCTAGTAGAGAAGGTGAAAGGAAAACGAAGGCTTCACAGCTGATTAAAAGGGAACATCTGAGAAATAAAAATGGTGTCTGTTGTCAGTCATTGCAGCAAACTCCTCGTTCTCCATTCTGTCCGTGTCTCGCAAAAGCTGTCTGTCCGTCCATCTGTCTGTCTGCCTACCTGTTTTCCCGTCCATATCCACCCCCCACCCTTTCCTCACCAGACCGTCTCTCCATTCTCTGTCAAGGCGCTGTCTGTGTTTTATGGGTCCCTGTAGAACAGGGATCTTTTACAGGCCGACTGGACTTTAGAAGCCCCTCGTTTAGCAGCATCCTGCCTTAATTAAAAACCCCTTTTGTGCTTTCTGCCTTTAACAATGAAAAGGGAGAGATGGGAGGGAGGGCAGGGTTAGAGGAAGAGAGAGTGGCGATGCAGAGAGGAAGAGAGAGAGAGAGAGAAAGAGAGATGGCGGTGAATAGGAAGTGATAGGGAGACAGGCAGATAGATAGTAAGGTAGACAAAGGGAGGGATGGAGAGATATGGACAGGGAGAAGATAGCTGTTAATTACAACTGCCATTAACAGGCACGAGCCAGCATCCTCAGGGAGAGGGAGAAGGAAAGGCAGGTGAGGAGAGGGAGGAGAAAAGAAGGGAGGCAGGATAGAGAAGAAGAGCAAAATGGAGAGAGGAATAAACTATTAATACTTTGGCGTTGACATTTCTGGAGGTTTGGGATTTTGTTCTGGAAATGCTTGCTGTGACTCCTGAAAGTGTTCCTGTCATTGTGTGCTTTACTGTGACCATGTGTGTATCTGAGAAAGGAGTATGTGTTTGCGCGCAAGTGTGTGTGTGCGAGTCCTTGTGAGTATCATGTGTGAGGCTGTCTTTTGGATGATTGAACAGCAGAGAGGCTGCTTACTGATTACCTTCATGTAGAACAAGCTGCTATTGACTGCAGAGTGACGGATGACCGTCGGCCCCAAGCATGTGTACGCCTTTCTGGGACTGTGTGCTGCTACTGACGCTTCTCTGCCACTTTTTCTTACTCATGAGTATCCAAATACACCGCTCTCTATTTCTCTGTTTTATGTCTTGAGTCTTTTACTTTTCTTAGCCTTGTCTCCTTTATTTAACTCTGCACACCCTCTCTCCTTTCATTTTCCCTTCTGAAAGAATAGCAAATGTGATGGATGGATTGTGTGCGTACATGCTTGTGTGTTTCATTTATAGAGCTTGTCAGGCTCTGTGAGAAATATAAATCAATCATAGGCAGTGACAGTGAGGAAATACAACAACATTAGTACAAATGATTGCTGTAATTGAGCTTGAACAATGCCTCAACTTTACTATTTTTCTTCTCCCGTAACACACTGCTTCTCCCAGATTTTCCTGTAATACGCTCTCCCTATTTTTCTTTTCGTTTCTGTCTCTCTCCTTCAGGCTTCTCTGCAGAATGTCCAGTAAGGAGCGCCACCTTGACTCCAACTGTCCGTCCTCGTACATAAAGACCGAGCCGTCTAGTCCTGCCTCCCTGACTGACAGTCTAAACCATCACTCCCCTGGTGGCTCCAGTGACGCCTCAGGCTCCTATTCGTCCACGATGAACGGCCATCCCAACGGCTTAGACTCCCCAAGTCTCTACGGCTCCAACGCAGGGCCCCTGGGTCCCGCAGGCGGCCCTGGATCAAAGCGTTATGAGGACTGTTCATCAACAATCGGGGAAGATTCACAGATTAAGTGTGAATACATGTTGAATTCAATGCCCAAAAGGCTGTGTCTGGTTTGCGGGGACATTGCGTCAGGTTACCACTATGGAGTGGCGTCCTGTGAGGCCTGCAAGGCCTTCTTCAAACGCACTATCCAAGGTTGGCTTTCATTTTAACTTCATGTCTTTAAAACTTCACAACAATCTTTTTGCAAGTCATTTATATTTCCCTGCCTGTCTTTTGCTCCCTCAGGTCTGTAGTCACAGATTATCTTTTTATTCTGTGTCTAATTGTTTCCTTTTCTATGACTCAGGCGGCTCTGTTTCACCAAACCTTCCTCTGTGTCAAACTTACGACAACAAAAAATGTGGATGTGTGTGTTATTTGAAATTTCTTTTTCAGACTAAACACAGAATAACCTGTCAACCAAACGGTGTTCAATTGACTATAACACACACCTCAGAAAACGGCCTAAAACATCAGTCCTTTCAAAATTTTGTTTTTAACTTTAAACTTCCACTTTTCAGTTTTGAGCTCATGACATTCCACCTGAGCTGTTCAAGTAGATCCAGGACATAAGAAAAGAGCCCCAGGCCAGATGTGAACCCAGATTTTCAGATCGTATACGTCTCCTCCTGTCTGCTAACTGAGCCACCGGGACACACACCACAATCTATTTTTTCCTTTGTCCTTCCCCATTTATCTTTCTGGCATGCATATGGGCCTGTGCGCACACACACACACACACGCACATACACACACTCACAAATCAGCACCCAATCACGGTCATGAATACCCACCGACTCCCAAGCACGCCCCCTTTTCACCCTCAACCTTGACCTCTTCATCAACAGCAAAGAGTAATTTCCAGGTTGTGTTTGCGTTTTGGGATCTGGCTGCTTATGTTCACAGGAAGAGTGTTAGCTATAAGCCTGTTGTCTAGGAGATAACTTAGTGTCAGAAGAAGGTCAGAGGTTATGTCTAGAGGTCGGAAGTTCAGGTTAGGGGGGAGAGAAGAGAAGGGATAGAGCAGTAATCCACATGATGAGAAGAGTACCAGGAATTAGGCTCAGTAATCCTTTGCTCATCTCTTGTTGGGGGCCAGAAGTAGTTCAGGAAGTGTACAGGTATTTAGGCTCACCAGTTTTCTGGATTTTCATTATATATCCTCACCATTTAGGCTTTCACTTATCCTGCTAAGAACAGTGTGGGTTGTTAATACAGAGAACCAATTAGCCATAAAGGAAGACGGTAAGACAGCAACCTTGTTCAGAAATATCACGACACTTGAAATTTCACTCAAATGTTTTAGGAATGAATTCCATTTGTGAAAAAATACTGCAGTACACGTTAAATGGAATTCAAAAATGTAAAGTTTTTACTGAAATATAAATACAGTTTGTGAATGAAATTATTTTATGGTGGTTTTCACTAAGTACTTTCAAAAGTAAACGAAAAGATACATCCTTAACCCTCTACCTGTAGAATGAGAGTAATAAACACATGGATAAAGCTGGGGCATCAAAAGTACAAAAGGTTTTCTCTGGTCTTCTCAAAGCACTTCTACACCGCATCCCACGTTCACCCATTCACACCACATACATATGTTGATGTCAGAGGATGCTTTGTGAAGCAGCTGATAGTCTTAACTAATCCCATTCACATGCATTCACACTCTGCAATTTGGAGTCCAAGGTCTCACCCGAGGACACTTCAACATATGAGCGTGTGAATCGCTGGAGCTAAGATCAAACTGCTGACCTTCTCATTAGACAGTGATTGTCCTTACCACTGGGCCACAGCAGCAGCCTCAGATACATCCAAGAGGGCAAACAATTACCATCAAAGTTAACTAACAGTCTGTCCTCTCTTAATCTCTGTTGGTGGCTATCAAGCCCCCAAATCCACTCAAGTGAAGACACGTCACCTTTGAAACAGGTCTTAAACATCACATAGTTGAGGTCTTTGTCATTGAAGAATATGAAATACCACAGGTTTGTGAGGAAGGTCTATTCCTCGTTGTCTTTGGCTTTAAGGGATTCATGGTCAGTTAACATATAAACCCATCTTATTCTGTTTTTGGTTGAAAATAGGAGAAAAGTAAATGATCTCCATTTAGGGCTGCCATGGTTCTTTCGACCTGGTAGGTGAGTAATAGACAAACCATTGAATATTCAGTTTTTGAGGAATGATCGAATGATTATGATGATTTGTATAACTTTGTGAGATTACTAATAAGCCTCATCAGTCAGCGGGACAGCCAGCCAGCCAGCCAGCTGCCATCGATCCATTGAGACAGTCAGCCAGTCAGTCAGTCATATCAGACAGGATTCATCTATCTGCCTTTCCATCCATCCACCTATCTGTCGCTGCTTTCTTTTGCTTCCGATAAGCAGCTTTCCCTGTAAAGCCCCAGAGAGACAGAGAGAGAGCGAGAGACAGGGAAATGTGGGGGGGTTTAAAGTCTTACATCCACGAGATGGTCACCACTACCTAGAGATGACCTGTATGTGTTTATTATGGGATGAGAGATCAGAACACGGTGCAATCCTCACAAAGAGATTGGAGAACACACAAAGCAAGATAAAGGCGGGAACACACACACACACACACACACACATACACACACAAAGCAAACTCATAGAAACACGTTCACATATGGACCCTCCACACACATGAATAGACTGTGTAATCACTTTATGTATAGGTTTGACCCCTAATTCATCCGTCATCACGGTAGGGTCTGATAGTTCACCAGTTCCACATGTCTCATTTCATTTGGAGGGCTTGTTAAAGGTTATATAGGTGAGTGCACAGTCACAGATTAAATACGGGAGGCCACCAAACATATAGATGTGATGCCATGTTGACAGTAGAGACTCTTGGGAGTATGACCTTGAATAGATTTAAAGCAATACTCCATCCCTCTCACTTTCTCTCCCTTATTTTCACGTTATTTGTAATCCTCCCTTCTCCTGTAGTGGACGTGTTGCAGATCAGGAAGGCAGCCGTTGGAGGTCATGGGTCAATACTTGGAGCTAGTTACCAGCTTGGACTGTTGTCACGAAAAGATGTAATGAAGCTGTTGTGCAGAGCATAGAAATAGGACGCCACTTACAAACTAGAGCCACCACAAGGATGATATGAAAAATTAAAACAAAGAGCTGACAATGTGATACAAGTCTTAAGGACACAGCTGGCCTAATGAAAACCATTAATTGAGACCCATATATCAATATAAAGTGTCTTTTTTATTTTACTACTTAGTTTTACAACTATTTATATTTATAAATACTTATAAAAATAAGAAGTGAACTGTCTATTTAAAAAAAAGATAGACCATTTTTGTTTTTTCCATCAATGTCGATGTTTCGATGCTATGGCTTGTATCTTTTTGGATGCAGTTTTAACAGTCTTGGATCCACTGGAACAAATGGGTCATGACATTATCTTTGGCCAGCACAGAAGCCAAACTCATCCACAGACAGTGTGGCTATGTGGATCCCTGTGTGCATTTGTGTGGGCTTTTGCTATCCACATAAATTAGTGCAAGGTTTATGTGTACTTGTGCACATATGCCTGTGTTTGTGCATAGTTGTGTGTTAATGTGCATATCTTGGCTGGAAAGCAGGGCCAGCCTCAGATGGGCAGCAGCAGACATATTGGTATGTTTCAACCCATTAGCCAATAAAACCGCAGGTAATCACCAAAAAAACACCTCCAGCTGGAGAGGGAGGAGAGCATGGGGTGGGAGAGGAAGAGGAGAGGAGAGGGGTTGAGAGGAGTGGTAACGTGGGTTTAGATACACAACTAGTTGAACTAAGGAATGAGAGAAAAGGGGGAAAAAGAGAAGATGGACTGGGCATTTGGATGTAGAAAGGAATTAGAGGCATGTGTGGTTTTGTGTGTGCATGTGTGTGTCACAGCATGGAGGAAGTGGCTCTGGCAGCTGCTGTTTCTGTGGCGTCAGTCCAGCGACACCTGACAACCTGCATCTATCACTCCCTTATTGAGAGAGAGGGATAAAGGGGAGTGAGGAGGAGGGTAAAGTGTGGGAGTGGGAGGGATGGGGAGATAAAATGGGAAGAGGAAGGCACCAAGAGAGAGAAAAAGGGGGATATGAGCCGGAAAGATGAAGATGAGAATGGGAATCAGTCAATAGTGTGGTGACATTTTGGCGATTAAAGAATCGGGCATTTGTACAAAATTAAATAAATAACATCCATACCTCCATAGAAAAAAATCCCTCATATCTTTAATAGCTTTCAAAATACAAATGCATACTTTTCTTGAAGTGGTTTGGAAGTGTAAATTGAACTACTGGGCCATAATAGGACTATGTAAATGCAAATCCATTTCAGCGTTTTTTGCATCTTCCCCTTTTTTGCTGTGTATTTTTATTTGCTGTCGAGTAAAACTGTCAGTTAAAAAAATGAAACTCACACCAAACCTTCATCAAGACAAAATTTCAGATATAATGTTGGGAGGGATGAAAACAAAAGCTGCTCATAGACTACGTGGAAAAGCACACAACATTCATATTACACTCTGAACAAGAGTGGTCAATTGTCATGCGGCAGGTGGACATTCACACACATCTCAAAGGAGATTGCAGGGGATTTGAGGCCCACAGATATCCTTCTTCACCCACACCAACACACACAAACTAACTCACACGTTATACATAGGAAGCTCCAAGACCCTCTTTGCTCTGAGCCCATCCCACTGCACAATAAAACAGATAAAGACAGAAAGAAGGACACACACATACAGACACAGAGCTACACCATTATGGTATAGCCCTTCTTCTATAATTTCTGACCCATTGTCCTGTTTTAGGTTGATGTCTGAGCATATAAAGAGTACATAGTGGACTTATTTATAGGCTACAAAGATGAAACTCTTCTCTATTATGGAACTTAAATAAAAGCTCACAAGACTTCACTCTTGCTTTAACAGCTTTGTAATAGATATTCTCAAGTCTTTAGAGTTACTGAGAATTCAACAATTTAACAAATGTACAATATCCATCTTTGGTATCACTTAAAAAAACACAAACATGACTTATTTTTATGGCCTACTGAAGACCATCTTCACAGTGGCACTCAGCATACCTAACACATTAAGCCTTCTCACTACACTCTCTATAAGTGGCTCTTTACTGCAGTTATCCATTCAATCTGTTTAGCCTTGCACTAACAAGGCTTTTTACTGACCGTCCATTAACCCACGCAGATTCTGTGTCATTAGCACATTTAGCCTCAGTGCTAGCTAAGTGTCCCACTGAATAGCTGAATTCGTCTGCTCTTGCTGTATCATCAGCATGTAAAGGTTGGGTGCAGGCTAACTAGTCCCATTAGCAGTGTCCATTAGACTCTGAGGGCCATTCCTCTAGCATTTAGCATGTTTAGCCTGTACTTTAACTAACAAGGCCCATTAATGAGCGTCTTGTCAGCCATTAAGGAGTGTTAGTGCATTTAGCCCTTTTCCAAGCTAACTAGCCCCCTTAATCAGCCCAGTAATGAGAAACATCCTCTCCACAGCAGCAGTCAATAGTAATCACTGTTTACTCTGTTTCAGTGGGAGATGCATCGGCTTGCTGGGTTACTGTAATTGCCAGGTGGGCACAGGAGGAAGGCAACAATTTGTTATTTTGGGGTTAACATCTCAGGAAAATTGGATAAACCCTTCTAAACAAATAAACATTTAGGAGCCGTGCTTTAACAGCCTAAAAATGTCCAAACGAATCAAACATTGTGTTTTGCTCTGAGCTGAGGGAAAACAAATACCTAAGTGAAGGAAATTAGCAGATGTGGAGCAGAGGGAGGCTGAAAATAAGAAAACAGAAAGGCTGAAAAAATAAGGTCGGCAAAAAGGGAGGAAAAAGAGGCTGTATGTATGGTTGGAAAAAGAGATATAATTACAAACACACTGCAAACTTGATAAACAAACAGCCTATGACAAAATTCTTGACTAGGTCTCTCTCGCAAAAGAGATTTTGAATCTTAATGAGACAAACCTGTTTAAATATAAGTAATAATAAAAGAGAATTAAAGTTGGAAGTACACTGAAGAAGAGTTACGATGCAAGAGATGAACAAAACAGTGATTTCTTTCAAAATGTACTGTAGCAAGAACTTCTTCATAACAAAGAGGAAACAATGAGGCTGTGATCAATTCAAGGTAAAAGTGGTTTTAACCTCTAACACACTCAGGTGTTGTTGTTTTAGTTGGCAGAGTTGTTAAGTTAATAGACTTAAATGGACTGATAATCTGAGCCTGAGCTCTGCACCGGATTGTTACTGAGTGTACTGAGGCTTGTCACGCAATCTCAGCCTTCCCAAGAGGTGACCCCCACATATAAATGTAAAAAAAATTGTTCCACCTTTGTTTGAATCTGTGGTGCACTTACTGAAATGTTGTACAGCTCTTGTTCAAACTTCACCACAGGATGTCAGATTGTCTTCTTTGAAAGCAAAAGTTTGTGTTGAAGTCAAAAGTCAAGACCAAGGGAGCCGCTCCAATACTCATAAAATGCAAACATGTATACTACATGTATATATCTACATGTATATCTTTGTATCTTCATCCATTCATAACTTTGATGTGGAAAATTTCCAAGAATTCATCAACCAGTGCTGTAGAGTACAGGAAAGTCCCAGGTTGTTTGCTAGCCTCCTTGCTGATGTATCCGTCTAAAATGAGCCCTTTTTTCTCTCTTACTCTAACATGTTTACACACAGGCAACATTGAGTACAGCTGTCCAGCCACCAACGAGTGCGAGATCACCAAGAGGAGACGCAAGTCGTGCCAGGCCTGCCGCTTCATGAAGTGTCTGACTGTGGGCATGCTGAGGGAGGGTAAGGGAAAAGGTCTCTTATTTATCTTTCTCCGTTCACCGTGCTACATGTAGCATTTAAAGGCCTTTTGACTACGTTTACTTATTTGGTCCAAACTTCTAGCAGCCTCATCACAGCATCACGTGCTGCTCTACTGTACTTTGTTAGTACTTGATATTTCTAAAAGTATGGCGTCAGTGGTTTACAGTAGATTACCATGATTTATGGTGTTTGGAAATGCTACATGTAGCACATCTAAGACATTGTTAATTGTCTCCTTAACACTTGATATAACATAATCTATGTCCACCTTCGTCATCTACACCTGACCACTCTTAGTGATTTTTGCCTTCATGTGTTCATGAGCGAGTTTCTTCTTATTCCATGACTCCTGTCTGCCACTATGTCTCACCATCATTGTTTCACATTAACTGTGTCATTCTCTGTCCTGTGTATGTACATTTTTAACAAAAGTACTGTACAATCATTGCTGCGGGCGTGATAACTCCAGTGCAAAGAGACTGCATCCTCATGTTTAGCAGTTGTTTAGTGTTGATGAAAGGTACAAAAACACTAAAGATGTGATCTGCCCCACACCATCCTGATTAGATACACTCACTCTCTCATTTTCACACTCCCTCATTGCCTCTGCTTCTTTCTCTCTCCCTCTCGTCTGCCCACCTCTGACCTTTCTACTCCCACTGCACTTCCAACGATGAAAGGAGGGAGAGGAGTGGCAAGGGATGAAGAGGAGGGCCGATAGAGAGAGAAAGTGTGTGAGAGAGAGAGAGACGCAGGAATAACAGGAGGAGGGTGGCTCAAGAAAACTAGGGGGAGGAAGGGAGGGAGAAGAGATTGATTTATAGGAGCAGAGGAGAGGGACCAGGGGAGGATGCGAGGCAGGGGGAGGATGGTTGAATGAAGCAGAAAGTGTGTGTGAGAGAGAAAGGAGAAGAAAGGAGGGTCAAGGTTGTAATTGATGGGAGACCTGGCCTACGCCCCCTTCCTTACAGTGGTCAGGGAGCGTGCCTCTGCCGACGCCTGCCAGCCCTCCCTCCATCTATTCCTGTCTTCATCTCTCCCTCCAGTTCTCCCACTCCGTGCTAGTCTACAGTTTCTGTTGCTTTTCTTCAGTCTCTCTTCCATCTGTTCTCCCTTAAGTTTTTCATTCTCTCCATCCTGTTTGCAGCACATCATTCAAACCTGCATCCCTTTACCCTCTTAGACACTGTCAAGTGAACCCATGATGTTTGGAGGATAACATCTAATGAAAACAAAATCATGCACAAAACAACAAAAAATGGTATTGCATGAAAAGGAATACTTTCACCTTTGCAACCTAAAACAGTAAAATTGAGTCATTGCTCCTTAAAAAGATGAGAAAATAGTAACGAAATAAATTTCTCTTTATGCAAACATTAAATTTTACATCTTAAGGAATGGAAAAGTAAACCTTGGAGTTTCAAACACTAAAAATGTTAATGTCCCACCAGCTCCAGTTTTACCTCACAGCAAAGCGAGCTCATCTCTGCCTTTTCCTTCTGTCTACCTTTACACACACACAGACACACACACACACACATTTTGAACAAGCTGCTGTCGTAGCGTTTGTTCTCCCAGTCGATCTGACATCGGCAGAACCCATGTCTCATCTCCTGTTTTGTCTCGTGCATGTGTGTGTTTCCACAAACACAGACACGCACATACACACACACACACGTGTAAGTGCATGTATTATTGGCAGCTCCGACAGTCTCACAGCTCACACAGCTCAGACTGCATCCTCTTTTTGGACACAGACACCACATTGCTTTATCGATAAACTCCAGACAGAGCCGTCATGTGGAAGATCATATTTTTTTTTATTGTTTACTTCTAACTCGACTTTAAAATCCAGATTCTGTTCAGCTGTGAGAACGAGAGGTTTGTAGTTATGTTATTGATTTGAGGATGCGGTTTGCTCACTAAGCCATACGAGAGCAGAACTATGGCAGCATTTTGTTGCTGCTGCTCCTCCGCTTCACACACATACATCATGCACACGCACACACTTACCTAAGGTTACATATATATACATCAACATGACAGACCACAGCCACCCCATTTGTTGTACTAGGTGTGAATTTAATACAGGAGGCCCCGCTCTACATATGAATAAGGGTCATTTGGAAAATTGATATACCCATTTTCTACATTTTCTCTTTTGTACCCTTCTTGAACTTGGGAATTTAAAAATGATCGATACCAATACACACTAGGAGCCTTTCCACAAAGGCTCCTTTTCCCCCTAGCCTTGTTGACACACACGTGTTATATTCAAAACCCTCTGTGGATTCATCTCTAAAACAAACACACTTTTTTTTTTCACATAACAAGGTGAGGTTGTTCAGAGAGATCCTAAATATTCATATATCCAACAATGGGCTGATAAAAACATAGACAGTGACATCACCCATTGGTTTTTGCAGAGGTGTCATTTAGCCTAATGATGATAGTCGCCATATTGGAGATGCTATCTCCCCCTAACTTTCTATCAACTTTGGTTTGTTAGTTTGTTTTCAAAGCTCTCTGCTGTGGTTGTCTCTGCTGCTGTGTTGATTGTCGTATCATCTCTGTCTCTACACTTCACCTGCTGTTCATGTGCAAACTGCGCCCTTCAGCTGTGTTGTGTTAATTTTGAGGGACATGCACAGCTGAAGCACCAAATGATGAAGGCTGGAAACGTGTCTAGTCCTGCCGTACAGATAGAATGTAAATAAGCCCATGTTTTGTGGAATCAGGTAGAAATCGTCCTCAGTGAGAACATACATCTTCATTCAAAAAAGCAGCACACATGAATAATAAATGGTTTCACTGCCTGGTTCTTATTATAGCACTTTTTACTAATGCTTTTAACATTTGAGAGCATTGCCTGCCATGTTTTCCACTGCTGCCCTCCTGGACGTTAGCCTCGTTGAAGCAGAATTATGAAGATAGTAATGCTAAGTGGCTAGATCAGTTAGCATCAGACCTAACTTTGGCTGTCAGGGGCTAGCTCACGGGAGAAAGGTGAAGATAAAGCGGTGAGGGTGGAATGGGAGTGAACTTGGGGTGTGTGTGTGTGTGTGTGTGTGTGTGTGTGTGTGTGTGTGTGTGTGTGTGTGTGTGTGTGTGTGTGTGTGTGTGTGTGTGTGTGTGTGTGTGTGTGTGTGTGTGTGTGTACATGCTGTAGTTTATCCCTTAGGGCAAGATCTGCCTCAAATTAGCTTTGTCGCCCTGAGAGACAGAGAGGGTGAGATGAAGAGCAAGTGAGGCAGCAAGGAAGTGTGTGTGTGTGTGTGTGTGTGTGTGTGTGTGTGTGTGTGTGTGTGTGTGTGTGTGTGTGTGTGTGTGTGTGTGTGTGTGTGTGTGTGAGGAAAAGATAGACGAACAAGAGGCCAGAGGGTCAGTAAATCACCTCAGAGTGGAGCTTTTTCTTTACATGCTCTTTCTTTTAAACACACACCTGATCATGTGAATAATCTCACACACACACAGCCCAGTCTGTAAGAAAAAATTGGATGTTTTTTTTGCCAGAGGAGAAGAGAGCAATGAACAAGCTGAGGGGGGGTGATCCGAAGGAATGAACGAACAAACGGTGGGCGCCCACCCACCAATATGTAGCAGCTAATTTCTGGAGCGAGGCAATTAAAAGGCCTGACTATATTATGAGAACTTCCCCTCTGGCAATGGCTGTCTGTCCATTTTTAATGAGGTCATAATGATGCGTCAGCTGAAGACCAAAAGGTCACAGGGGCGGGGCTTAAATCTGCCAGGAGAGGGGGGAGGTAGTAGGAGAACAGTGGCGTTGTAACAGATAGAAGATTCGACTGAAGCAAAAACGAGCACATTCGACAAAATTTTCAGAAAACGATATCCATGTTTTGAAAATGACTGCAAACAAGCCGAGGTGTTTTAGCTGTCACAGTTATTCCTGTTCTATCTGGCAAGGCAAGACAGATATAATGCATTCAAATTGAGCAGTAATGCGTGGAATTGTCATGAACAGAATACAAAACACAGATCAGACATTTAAACATGAAAGCTTTGGCAGAGGCACACAGTCCAGGAGCCAGCAGCATTCAGTCAGCACGTATATTGTACATATGGTCATATTGACAGACCTGCTCCCTTACATCGCAGCAGCTTTGATGATGGCACGTCTGATGAATCATGCTTAAACACACAGAATGTGTTTAAACCAAAACCAAAGCCTCCATTTCCGTACTGCTGTAAACGGCCAGCTGGATTTAGAGACCACAAACTGCAAATATAAACCTTGGCACACTGCCCCACACACACACACACACAAACACATATACTCACACACTCTAAGCTCATGCCAACTTTGGCCGCGCTCCCTACGGCCTCTAAGACCTAATGAGTGAGATCGGGTGGAAGGCCCCAGTCTGTGAGAGATTTTGGTGCCTGTGTATGAGTGTGTGAGTGTGTTTGGTGTTCGCATACAGCTGGTCGTCTGCGTCATAAGCGTTCTCATAGCTCAATGATCCCGACTCCTGCTATCAGATCTCATGGCTGCACATGTATGCAGCTACAAACGCCTCAATCGAGAGGACTTGCTGACATGTTAAGTCGCTAAATTGTTAAAAACAAATCACCCCTCGAAAAAGACACATTTCTTAAAGAGTGTCAGTGAATGGAAAGTTTGTAGAGTGAAAAAACATATCAAGGAAAACACTGTTCTGAGGCCATATAAAAAAAATGAAGGAGGAAGAAATGAAAGTAGAGGATCATCATAGGAGGAGAGAATGAGTGATGGGGAGAGGAGAGGAGACAAGAGGAGAGGACATGGGGAAACAGAGGAGGGAAGCGCCAGACAACTGGTGGCGTCTGGTGTCCCCCCAAGGGAAACTTGTAGCTAAATCTGGCCCTGTAGCGTCTGTCCTGAGCAAGTGTGTGTGAGTGTTTGTGTGTGTGAGTGGCATCTGGTTGCATCCCGGCTAGAAAGGAGCGATAATGGAAATACTGTGATGGGTGATCTGCCTAAGTGGTCTGCTTTCTTTCTCATGCACATTCTTTTACTTTGTCGTGAAAGGTAGGGGATGTGACAAGAACACTGTCAATGAAGACTTAAAACAAATCTAGCTATAGTTTTAGCTGTATTCAAAGGTTTACAAAGAGCTGTTTTCAAAAAAATCTGACACAAAGTCTTTTCAGGAAGTGTGACCACAAAATCAAGTTGGATGCAAGACTCTACAACAAATGAGACAGGAAGTAAATACTAAAGTAGAAAAAGCGATTTTCTACAGCTATGATCATTTTCAGCGAATATTTAGAAGAGAATTAAGTATTTCATTTAAGAATTAAATATCAAGTAATTGATCCTTGAATTAGGCTGGGCAATAAACCGAAAATTTACCGATACTGAAATTTACATCAATAACTGGCGCCATTTTGCCCATATCGGTATATTCAGTGTCAAATAAATAAATAAATAAAAGTTGGTTTTGGATGTGTGTAGGTAGGCTATGGTCTCATATCCCTTTAAAACCTATGTCGGAGACGTGACTCCACCCCACTCAGTTCGTGAGGAGATGGAGCAACTTGAGTGGCAGCTGAAGTAGACAAAGTTAATGTGGGAGGGGGTGACCAGCTTGTTGAGTGGTTATCGTCCATTTATCGTTATCGAGGTGAACTGCTCAATATATCGTGATATTGATTTGAGGCCATATCGCCCAGCCCTACCTTGAATATTTGGGATGTGGGGCATCAGTGGTGAAGTCCTGCAGCTTGTGTTAAGAAAGCCTCAATCCTCAAGCAGTCTGGGTTGATTCCAACCTCCACTCCCTACTCTCTCTCCTTGTTTCCTCCCCTATCCTCTCTCCTGTCCTCTCTGAATTTAAGACAAAGCCCCAAAATGTACAACCTAGAAACAAATCATCATTTGGTGTTATAAAAGAGACTATTGTTATTTCAAAAAAAAAAGCAACACTTTTGGACGTGACATGCTCTCACACACATACCCACATTCATACACACACATGCAAATATTCACACACCAGTGACAGCCACCTGCCCGCTGCCTCAGGCAGTTCTGTTGTGATCTGTTCTGGTCTAAACAAACGTCACCGCACGACACCACTCACACTTTCCCCTTAACCTCAAATCCACCCCTCTCACATACTCGCTTTTTTTTCTTTCCATCCCGGAGCTGTCTTTTATCAGATTTTCTATTTCAAGAATAAATAATTATACAAAATAACTAGAAATCTCACTCTGAACACTGTTTCTTTCACGTAAGAAGTCACCCAGGCAGACCAAAAACAAGAAAAAAATCCTCTAGCTGTTTCCTGTTTTTTCTGTTTCTTTATGGTGATATTCCCTTCTCTCCCTCACTCAAAGATACAGAAGTACACACTCACTCACACACACACAGATTTAAACGGGTCTGTTGTCTTACCCAATCTACTCTCCCATCAGTTCTTTAACCCACATAGGAAAACCCTTTATGTTATTACATCAACACTGCGGTTTAACACACACACACTCACAAATACACACTCTCAGAAGCATAAGGTGATAACCTGGTCTAAGGTGGAAGAGAGACTTCAACCCTGTTACAACTTCAATTACCATAAAACTCTCTCTCTCTCACTCGGTTCCCCCATCTCTGCCTCTTTAAATTCTCTCTTCCTCTTCTTCTTTATGCTATCTCTCCTTCTCTTTTTTTATATCAACAGAAATCAATCATTTCATTTGTCTTCCTACTCCTCTCTCCACTCCATCCCTCACTCCTGTTCACTCCTTCTTCTTTCATTCTCTTATCATATCATTGACCATCTGAAATCAATCCATTTTGTGTCTTTCTCTGCTTTTTTTTCCCTTTTTCTCCCTCCCTTTTGTGTCGCTTCTCTCTTCAAAAGCACTTAAGTGTCAAAGGCATTTCAATGGCAATCCCTCAACTGTTAAAACACACACACGCACACACACATCCACACACACACACACACACATATGCTGACATAGAGTGACGCCATGGCAGTGTAAAATCTATGTTGATGTGATCAGTGCGGATCGTGCTATCGACAGGCAGCAATATTCCCACGATAGGAAAGATTCACCTTCATCACTGTCACTGTGTGTGTTTGTGTGTGTGGACATGGCTGTGTGGACAACATGTGATCAGAGTGGTGCAACATTGTGGAAAGAGGGAACAGGTAAAGGTAAAAAAAGATATCATTACAAGTACTGTTTACAACTAGGGGGTGAAAAAAAAAATTGAGACTGGCCTTTTGTGTATATATGTGTGTGTGCATGTGTGTGTGTGTGTGTAGAGGTAGAGTCAGTAGACTGAGTAGAGGTGCACCGTTAGTTGACATAATAATTAAAGGATATAATTAAGGTGTGTAACCTCTGTGGGTTTCCTCTCTTTCATGAATCTCTTCTTTTCTTTCATTGTTCTGTTCCTATCTCATTTCCTTTTATAACTCCTCACTTCATCCCCCTTTTCTGCGCTACACAATTTTTTCCTCTTTTGTTTACTAACCCATCCATTACAGACCCCCACTACGCTTTGCTCTCATTTCCCAACCTATGCTCCATACCCCTCTCTTCTTTGTTCTCTTTTTTTTCCAAACTTACTTTATAATATTCTTTCTTTTATGCTTTTTATCTAAATTTTGTCTTTTCCCTCAATTTTTTATTCCATTTCTTACCGTTATCCGCTGTTCAATTATTCTACTCCTTGTCTTTTTCTTCCTCTTTACATTTTTTTATCCTTACATTCCCCCTCTCCCAAGAACCCCCTCCTCTCCTCTCCTCTCCTCTCCTCTCCTCAGTCCTCCCCTCCTCTCCTCTCCTACCCATTCTTTACGATTTGAAGGCTCATTTGTTAAGAGGAGGTAGAACTCTTTCGCTCTCCCCCTAGCCTCTTCCTGTCTCTTTTTTGTGGGCTTTGGAAATATAATTTTCAATTTTTAATTTGATTCATTTAGATTTGATCATTAATCAGTGCTGAGAGAGAGTTAATTTGGTGGAAAATAGATGAGGTAGTTAGAGAGGGCTCTTTATAAAGTGAGCTCAGAACACTCTGGGTCTTTTAGGTGTGAGGAAGAGGGAAAGAAAAAAAGGAGTCTGCATGTCAGAGTGTGTGTGTGTGGAAGTGGAAATGTGTGTCTGCTAGTGGAGGAATAGAAGAGGAAGTGTGTTGATAAAATACTTGAAGTCTTCGCAAATTTGTGTACAAATAAACAATTGCTGAACAGAATCTCAAATTTTACTGCTGGAATGGATAACAAGATACTCAAATCCCTCCAGTAGTCGCTTTGCATTTTGCCTTTTTTTCTTTTGTTTTCACTCCTTGGTGCTCTCATAAATGATCTTCAGGCCTTCTATTGCCACCTGTCCATTAAAAATTCTAATACATTTTGATTTTGCTGCAAATATCTACCTTTTCCCGCCGTCTGCTTTTTGCCTTTCACTCTCCTCATCTGACCAGCCTCTGACCCAGGTAGTGACTGACCAAGCCTTTTCTTACAGCTAAACCCGAACACAACATGAGGGTGTGTGTGTTAGAGTTTATGTGTGAATATGTGTGTGTGTGTGTGCCAGAGAAAGGACAGAGTGGGTGTGTGAGTGTGTTTGTTTATACCCCCTGGTGCTAAGAGTTTCTTGACCGTTTGCTGACACTGCCTCCCCCCCGATCGTACCTGGACTGTCAGCCCTTCTGTCTTCTTATTCCTGTCTCGAGTACACCCGTATACACACACACACATACACACACTCTCAGATATGTTCAGGTCACTTGTCCGACTGCTGCCAGAGCTCATTTTAGGTTCCGAAACGACTACATTTCCATTACAAACTAAGCCACTCAAGTCACTGTGAAAGGCTTTGAGCAAACCTGCAGCTGCTGAACAAGATGTGACACAGCATGTAAAACATTTCATGTAGGTGTAAAACATACATAAAAGCAGATGTTCATGGTTAGCAAATCATTTAGACCCTGAGTGTGATTAATTGTAGACAATAAGTTACCATCAAAGACAACAGGTCAAATGTTGAATCTGGAAAATGTTATTATATGGAGGAAAAATGCTCATTCAAGATCTGAAGCCTACAACAACTTCCCCAATAGTTGGGACATGGACATATTTAACATTGTGCTGCATCATCTTGTCTTTCAACAACATTTTTGGGCACTTTAGAGACCAGTTATGGGATTTGACAGTGAATCCCATTTTTGCCTGATATAGGATTTCAGCTGCTCAACAGTTCAGGGTCACTTTTGTCATAATTTTACTGTCATGACCCACTAAACATGAGGGCAGGCTGGACACCCAGACTCTTCTACCACGGAGCCATGCTGTTGTGATGCAAAATGTAGTTTGTAGTTAAAAAAAAAAAACTTTTACTCTGTCTTTACCTCTAACTCTCACACATCTCACTTAATCAGTGTGTTGATAAAGTTCCTGCAGACTTGTTTTAGTAGCAAAGGTGGGCATCTGTGGTTGTTTTAACTCCCAGTTTCTCTTGTGTTTATTGGGATACCTCCACTGCACCCTTTCTAACTGTAAATATTTTCTGTCCGCTTTAGTTAACAGGTCATTTCTTTAAGTAAAGTTGATGTTTGTATACCAAAGAAGTCTAGAGAAACATCTTTACTGATGTAATATCCAATCAACAGTTGTAAATTACTCAAAGATATTGGGGATAAACAGGCAGGTTTTAAACATTCCCTCAGCTCTTTTTCAGCACTTATTTTAGATCTTCCTCAAAATTACCTAAGATTTAGTTAAGAAAAAAAAAACTGACTGCTCTTTTTGGATTCCTCTCCTCCTCTCTCCTCTTCTCTCCTCCTCGGGGGCACATGACACCTCTGTCTTCCTTATCCATCTTTAAGTGGTAACCACGGTAACATCCAATCCCTTGAGAGATAGGCCTAATTAAATTAGGACTCCTTTGTGTCAATTAATTAACGAGACACAGAGAGGGAGACAGAGATTGGGAAAGAGACAGGGAAAGAGTCAGAAAGCCAGGGAAAGTGTGTGTGTGTGAGAGAGAGAGAGAGAGAGGCCTTTACCCAGATGGTGTCTCTATAAATTAATCTTGTTGGAGAATAAAAGAGGCACGCAGGTTCAGAAAGCTTGACAAGAACTTAAAACAGGGTACCTGCATATCAGACAAATGAACACACATGCATGCACTGCAGAAACAGACCATTTATCACCACTTCAGTCACATCTCATACGTACTCTTCCTCTTTTTTCCCTTCCCTCCTCCCTTCATTTCCACTTTCTCTTTGTGTTTCGTCACAAGTTAATTTGTGTACTCTTGAATCCTACGTCACGCACAGCAAAGTGATACACTTCTTTCCTTTCTCTCAGGTGTTCGTCTGGACAGGGTTCGCGGAGGCAGACAAAAGTACAAACGCCGGATAGATGCCGACAACAGTCCATACTTGAACCCACAGCTGGCTCTGCCCGCTAAGAAGCCATGTAAGGACCCACAGAAACTGTAACTTTTAAAGAACGTGTGTAATGGGCTCTTTTCTCTTCAAGGTTGATGAGTGACTCTCAAGGACAGATTCTTGCAAACTTGTCCTTGGTGTGAAGAAACTCTATACATTGATGTATGTGCTGCAGCGGTGTAAACATCTTATCCGGTGTGCCAGAGAGAACAATGAAAGACAAACTGAACAAAAAAAGAAAATCCCCCCCTAGAACAATGGAAAATATTTAAGTTCCTGCACATCAACTCAATATGTGCAGGTAACGTTCATGTAGTGTGTGATCGTCATCATCGTTGAGGGACCAGAACAACAAGAGACTGCCTTCTTCTTTCCGTTGGTCTCTATCCTGATGGAGACAGTTGGACAGTAAAAACATTTAAACACACGCCTCGACACACAAACACAGACGCACACACATAAATAGACACGGTAGTGAGAAGCCCATCTGTTTGAGACCAAGTTTATCTCCCTGCCTCTACTGCTACCAGTTTGGGGTCATAACATTTTATATGTGTAATATTTCACTATAAAGGTATTCATTTAGCTCCGCATGGATTGGCTGCGTTTTTTAGAGAATAAAACCATGGCCAAAGCCTGATGATTGAAAAATTAACAAGGGAGAGAGGGAGTGGGAGTGGCAGAGAGACAGGTGGAGAGAGAGAGAGAGAGAGAGAGAGAGAGAGAGAGAGAGAGAGAGAGAGAGAGAGGATAAATGAGAACATGTCTCAGAGAGAGAGAGAGAAAATAGGGGAGGGAGTGAGAGGAAGGAAGGGAAGGGGACCAGCCAGAACCCTAATCCGGATTAAATCCAATCTGGCAACCACATCAAACTAGAGTTAGCTCTTTAGCTAACCGTCTGCTCACATGCACGCACACACACTCATGCAGTGCAGATTGAGCAGTGTTTAGCAGCTTGGTCCCCAAAGCCCATTTTGCTTAAAGCTTGAGCATATTCTGCTTTAGGCCAATATGCTGAATGGCTGCACCACAGCTTACCGGGACTTCAGCACCACTAATCATCGAAATGATGGGATAATATGAAGCATGCGCACCCTCTGTGTGCAATTATAATGTATTTGTTTGCATACATGAAGCTTGTGTGTGTCCCAGCAAACTGAATGGCTTCTCTAGTGCGCTTTAGACCAATTTTCTTAAACCGGATAAGTGATATTTAGCTCTTAAATCCTTTTTGTGTTTTATCAAGGATTTGTCCAGTTTTGAAGGAGTCGTTCACTAAAATCAACAACCGCCACTCCAAGTAGTTATTCACATCAATTTCTGTTTAAAATCTTTAAATATCTCTAAAACAACTTACATTTGAACACCAAAATATACAGGCTTGTAGAAGACTTCCAAGGTATCTGTTGTTCTTTTTTTCTTTCGCACACAGTTGATAAAAAAATCACACAAAAATCTTTCTGTCCCTCTGTCTCTGTCTCTCAGATACACGCACACAGCCTATCTATCTGTAGCCCAATCCCTAGCCTCATCGTCCCCCATTGATTGTGTGAGAACAGAACAATAGCCCAGGGTTTGGAAATGGGCTTCCATTGATTCTAATTAGGGAAACATTAAATAAGATTTACCCACAGATACTGCACTGTGACTGGGATTGGTTTGGCTCAAACGACCCTGGAGCTGGAGCTAGAGGGAAGAAGATGGAGTAAATGTATTTGTACATATATATATATGCAGAGGGAACAATAAAAGACAAGGTTGATTTATTTTTACATGTTTAAATATATCTTTATATATACACACATATAAATGTATATTTGTAGGTTCTTGTTTGTAGATACAAAATTGTTGATGGAGATCATTAGATCAATACACCCCCAGCTCTGTCTCTCTCTCTCTTGCTGTTTATCTCTATCTAACTGTCACTCTCTCCTCTCTTCCTGTCTGTCGTTAACAATCTGCCCACAACTCTATTCCTACCTGTCTGTCTTCCTCTGTTTTTCTCCCTCCCTTTTTTTCTTTCCCTCTCTCTCTTCTCTATCTCCCTCACTCCCCTCTTGCTCTTCTTTCCTCTGTTATTATTCCCATGCTTGATTAGTCAGTGGATTAATTTGGAAGCAGGGTATCAGTCTGTTACTAATGGGCCATAGAGATCTCATCACCACATGTCACCATTACCAGCTGAGCTGTTTGGCTTTCAGAGTTATCTTTCCCTCCTGTACGTGTCAGCAAAGCTTCTTAAGGCTGTGATACAAAAAGACAGCATTTTGTGCTACCTGAATCACCAGTAGTAATTGCCTTTAATCACACCTCGAAGCGTCTCCTAAAGAGGAAACCTCTCAATCATTTTTATTCATCTTTAGTCCTGCTGAATTACTGGAATCAAATCAATTATCTCACGGTTCATCACTGAAAAAATCCTCGGGACATTTTAACAACAAATAGGAGACAAGCTTCTTCTTGCTGTATTTTTCATACATAAAATGGGTTTAAATCTGTCCAATATGCTCTATTTTATGATACAGAACATTTAATGGAATATTATTACACTCTAAATCTGTTTTTTAAACGCTTATTTCAAACCTTTGATACTTGTATCTCTTTCAGTGCTTCTTCAAGTCAAGTTAGTTGCAGACCAAGAGATTCAAGTAAAAGAATACAGTACCTAAATATATATATATATACATATATATTAGTCCAGTGGTCCAGTCAGCTTTTTTCCATCCTGAGGAAAAACCTTTTGAAATATGTATTATCTAATAAAGCGTGTTTGTAGGCATGCTCCGATATGGTGTGGAACAGTTTGTAGCATACTGCAGCAAAAATTCACCATCTCTCTGTCTCTGTGTCTTTCTCCTTGTCTGGTGGTCATGTCAGTTGCCTTTGGCTGCCTTGCAGATAACAAAATCGTCTCTCACCTGCTGGTGGCCGAGCCAGAGAAGATTTACGCCATGCCTGACCCAACAGTACCAGACAGCGACATCAAGGCCCTGACTACGCTCTGTGACCTGGCTGACAGAGAGCTGGTGGTCAACATTGGCTGGGCCAAACATATTCCAGGTAGGAGAGGAAAATCCCTGAACCCTGACTTTCAAACTCAACCTAACCTGACCCCATGTTGGGACACCCACAGTTTGGACATCCAGGCCGTTTCTCCCATTTCCAGAGTGTTGGAAACATCATACACACACGCACATACCCACATGCTTTTGCTGTGTGTGCTGGCAGAGAAAGCACAAGGTCAGAATGGTTTAGGCACACTTAACATGCATACTAGTTCATCTCATTCTAAGATGTGACCTTTCACCTTAATCCTTGCATCCAGACTGTCTGAACTGTTGACTCCTCCAACAGACCAAACAATTGGTCCGCTTATATCACACCCTCGCACAAACGCCTTGACAAATACCCTCAAGCTAACATACAGTATATAATTTCTGACCTTTTGAACCCACAATCCAATCCCCTTACCTTCAACCTGCGTATTTGTGGGTGTGTGTCTACGCGTATGTGTGTGTGTGTGTTTGTGTGTCTGCAGTCACTGTATTGAATATGACTAAGCTCTCTTAAACCACAGCTTTACTTTACTGAACTATGTTTGTTCTAGATTTAAATGAAACAAAAAAGTCTCTGAAATTATACAAAAATGTTAAACAACAGCAGCCGAAATCTGCTTTAATCTTTGTGTTTTTTTCTTTCTGGGGTGATTCAAAAAACACAGTATGTATATGGATATAAACAAGATTTAAGGTCTCTCTTGATTTACACCATTAGTGGTTAAAAAAAAAACCAATTCTCTTTTAACAAGGAAGGGAGTAAATAAAACACAGAAAAGATAAACAAAAATGTTGAATTGTAAGCAGGTAACATTTTATTTTTTATTTATACGGGGGGGGGGGGTTAGCCCATTGTGCATTGGTGCCTCTGTCCAGGGTCATTACTAAAACATAAGTACATACATTTTAGTGTGCTTTAAACCAACCCTTGTTTTAAAATCCTTCTGAAATTAGAAACAGATGACAAGATTACCAAATGAAATGAAATTTAGATACAAATTGAGCCAAAAAGACTCAGAGCAGAGCATCTAAATGTCAAATAAAGAGGAGGACATGGAGAGAAAGGTATAATAAGAGTAGATGAAAGCTATAATCTGGTTTTGGTTTTAATGAGGGGCTTACTGTTACAGCGCTGGAGAAGGAAAAGCAGTATCTCAGATTAACACAGATTAGTGCAAAGATTAGTTACAGTGATGGCTGAAACTACGGCTATGAAAAAGAATAAGAATGACAACAATAGAAAAGAATCAAATCATCCTCTGCTGCCAATTCTAAATTGCTCCTCTGTATGTGAAAGCATAGAGGGAAACACCAGATTAGAGGCATAAATACCTCTTAGTCATGCTGCTTGAATCTATAACAATAAAGTCAGTGGTGTTGGATAACAGGATCTCCCAGTGATATTTTTTATATCTTTTCAATAAATGTGAAAATGGCAAAGAAAGGGAGAAGAATAGAAATGGAGAGAGAAAGAAAAGAAGAGATGAGGATATACATTTCTTCTTGTTAGTGTATTGATCTATGTGCTGCTATATGGGCTGAAAGCAGACATATATATTGATCCATACACCAAACATAGCTCTTTGAATATTTATTTTTGCTCTCAAAACAACATATAGCCTCTTTCCTATACGGTCTCCTATCCTCTAATCTTCCTGACCTGTGTTATACTCCTTTTGTTTTCTCTTTTAATCCATTTATCCCTCTCTCCTACCTTGTGTCTCTCTATTTCCACCTACTACATCTCATACACACACACACACACACACACACAAACACCCACATGCACACGCAGAGAACTCAGAGTCATGTAAACATACACCAACACACAGGATGTTTATTCACGCACAGGTCTTTCTTTTTCCTTTGCTCGCTACTTTTACAAGTAAGTACGAGTTAGCCAGGTTATGTGGTGAGCAGAGTGTGTGTGTCTGTGTGTGTGTGTGTGTGTGTGTGCTGCTTTCTGTGTGGAGGGAGCGAAGCGCAACGATTGCTTGGCGGAGGAGAGAAGATGGCGTGATTAGATGAACGAGAAAGGCAATCCGCTGCTCTGAGAGAAAGATAGAACTCTTCATCTTCCAAGTACGTGCATGTGTGTATGTGTGCGTGTGTGTGTGGGGTAAGCACTTTATGAAATCCTCATTGTTTACAACACTGAACACTGATCTAATACTCACCTTCCTACACACACACTCAAACACACACATAAAACCATGTCCACACAAAAAGTGATCTACAGTTCACGGAGGATGGAGAGGATTGTCAGAAAGAAATATACCTCCTTAACATTCTTTATCAGGCTCTAACACACACTGACACACACACACACACACAAACAAGCAGGCTACCAATAACTAGTCCACATTGACTTAAGTCTTGAATGGAAGAGACTTAAAATTGACACGTTAACCTTTTTTTGTAGCTCTCTTGTTCAAAATCTTGTCAACTGTGCGTGCGTGTGCGTGCGTATATGTGCGTGTCTACAATTCCATAGGGTGTACATGTGAACACGCCTGTCTTTGCTCGCCATGCTACAGTAATTTTTTTAATCAAATTGATGGAGAGAGACAGAGAAACAAAGAGAAAAAAGACAGCGGCAGAGTGAGGAAGGGTGCAGCCAATTTATGCTTCATGATATGGCTGCGCAGCGCCGCATACACACGCATAAACGCGCACGCACGTACGCGCACGCACGAGCTGCTAACAGTGGTAACAACGTGTCAAGGCGAGCGCCAGGCAGCTAATTTGAAGTCATTAGATGTCTGCCGTACTGGCAACAATTTGTTACGCTCACACACGGACAAACACACACACACAAAACCACGTCACATACACACACTGAGTTAAGAGCCGTCTGCGGATAGCGAGGAGGCTAAATTGTAAACTAATTTAAACATCACTCAGCGTTAGAGAGGCTGCCTGCAAGACAGGCCCCCGGATAACAAGGCTAGGCTACCAGTGTTTGTGTGTGTGTGTGTGTGTGTGTGTGTGTGTGTGTGTGTGTGTGTGTGTGTGTGTGTGTGTGTGTGTGTGTGTGCGTGTGTGTGCTAGCTGTGTGTGACACACAGACTCACCCAACCTTAGAGACTTGTGACAACACACATATATGCACATATCTCTTTGATTGGTTCTTTTATTCTAAGGCTCTATGTGTGTGTGTGCGTGCATGTGTGTACATGTGTGTGTGCTCATTTCCATACTGATATGGCCTATATGCAAACATTTGATATGTCATTAGAAGGGGAAAATGAGGTTTCAGACACAGTGTGTGTCTCTTGTTTCCCTCCAGGAATGGGACCCTAACGCACTCAGGCACCTCACACATGCACGTCTGCTTTCAAAGGCAGAGATGAAATACATGCAAACACATAAACAAGTTTCAGACGGCCTTTCACTGTTCAGAGCTGGAAGATATCACAAACTCGTGGCCACACACAAATACACATACCTGTTTCTGTATTTTTAATATAAATATATGAGCAAATCACAGACTCTGGAAACTGGAACATGTTTTTAGAGACATTCAAAGGCTTTGGCATCCCGTATTATGGATTATTACAGAGGAAATCTTAGTTTAATAGCCCAAAGAGACAACTCCAACTGTGAGTTAGGCTGTATGTCATTGTCAAGAGTGAGTGTGTAGGAATGAGTGGACGGTGGAGCGACAAGGAGCGGTCAGGTGAGTGGAGGAGGAGGAGAACAGCAAATATTTAAACAGCAGAGAATGAGCAAGTGAATTAAAAGAAAGAAAGAGGGCATTCAAAATGAGCCATTTATCTGTCTGTAGAATTAGTCTTTTCATCCTCTCTTTTCACTTCTCTTACTCCCTTACTCCTTCTCTCTCTCCCTCTCTCTCTCTCTCTCTCTCCATAATAACTAAATGACTACCGGGCAGTCATGCCAGCAGCTCTTATCTCTACTCGCGGACACAAAAGGGAAAGACAGACAGGCGAGCACTTGACTTGACGAAAAGAGCAAGGAACGAACAAATGAATGAATCAATGAATGAGAGGCAGAACCTATAACACAGCCTATTTTACCAGAACCAGGGGCTTTGCCATTAGTGTTTTTTATGACCCCTCCCCCATTCTTTCTTTATTCAGGAAAGAAATTGCTCTCGGGCCGCCCCCCACTTCCCCTCCACTATTCTCTTGCTTCTCTATCTCTTCTTACTTGCTCCTTTTTCATGCAGTCTGTCTCCCTCTCTTCCTTTCCTTCCCCTTTCAATTTTGACACTCAGGATAAGCGGTCTATGTGTCGGCAGTAAGGCAGTATGATTGAGCTGTAAAAAATGGGGGGAAGGGCGAAGGAGGGGGGCTCTGTCTGTCTTTTCATTTTAATCCACCTTTATGGAGAAGGGGTATGGATAGAGTTGGTGATAGGATAGTAGGTGACATGTGGAGTCCTGTTGTTTCATGTTGTGCATGCTTCTCTCTGTCATTATCATTTCTCTCGTCTCTTCTCCTGTCTCTTTCTTTTTCTCGTTTGGAGTTTAGAATGAGCAAGGGTGTTGAAGGACCCCATGGAGGTGCTAAAATAAGAGTGAGGTTTAGTTTGAGATGATTGGGAGCCTCTGTTTTATGTCACGGATGGTGACTGTTAGCACAACTCCATAAACTCTGACATTTCCTGCCGCCAAGACGATTTTGCTTCTTGTTTGTTTCATGGGTTAAGAAAGTAAAGGGTATCCTCTTCGTTGGAGCCTGGGTTTCCAAAATAGGTCATCATCATCATCTCAAAAGTATATTTTCTTAACCAAGGATTGCTTGGACTTTTATCATAAATAATTCTACCATAAGATGTGGTGTAAGAGGACATTTGCTATTGATTGAATAGGCATGATATTGTGTCAGATTGACATAATACAGGGCAGTCAGTGTAAAGCTTGACAAAACTAAAGTCAGGGTTTTAAAAGTGAGTGCCTATTGAATTGTGTGAGATCACTTTGAGATCACTATAGTTAAGTCCTACAGCCCAAGTGTATTAAATGTTTGTGACATCGCCTTTAATGAAGTAATGCACATGACAGTGTTTTTGTCTTTGAAGTTGAAAGAGAAAGCCTAAAGTTTTTCAACAAGTTCTTGAAACTCAGATTTTCTGTTCTTGCAAATTACATGTGGAGTTCCTCAGGGCTCATTTGTGGATCCCATTTATTTTTATTTTTGAAGGAAATGGACCTCTTTTCATAATTTGGTTCTTATCCTAACAAATAGAAAAGTGTATTTAAGTGTCGTATTTTTGGTAAGATTTTTTTATTTTTTATTTACTGGGTTCTTTTGTTTTTGTGTGCTGGTGTATAGTATCACTAAGCACATTGATAGTTGTGATTCACATGATGTTTTATTTCATTATATCTCAGACTGTGTGTGATAAAAACTGACAGGGGCAGAAGGGAGGGGGAGCGCAGAAATGGGTGGAAATGAAAAGCAGGGAGGTCACATACATTACCTTAGTATAACCCGGATACTCCCAAAGAGCTTTTAACACAATACTGTTCTGACCCTTTGGCTAAATATCCCCCACCTCTTCAACCTCTCTCGTGACCTCTCTTTTTTTCTCTCTGTACTACTGTCTCTTTCTGGCTCTTCCTCCTTTTCTCCCTCTGTGTGACCTGACCTCCCACTCTCTCTCTCTCTCTCTCTCTCTCTCTCTCTCTCTCTCTCTCTCTCTCTCTCTCTCTCTGTGGTATCCTTAACCTCTTCATTATCAAGTCAACCTCATCTCTCAACCCCCATCCCCTCCCCACACCTCCTCATTCCCCTCATCTGACGCCCCCCTGAGCCAGCTCTTATCACAGTCTTTCTCTCCCATTCTTTGTTTTCTATCTTCACCTACTGAATCTTGATTGTGTCCAGTCCCTGCTTGAAACAGGATGAGTGACTAAACCTTCATTAGACCTAAAATTTGTTCATGGCAGCCTCCTGAGCTTCACCTCTGCAGGCGCTCTGCTGTGCCCTCGCTCCTTTGGTGGTGTTTCAGACAGTTTTTACAGGGATTTTCCGACAGTGAAACATTCAGTCTGTCAGACTGCTGGACAGTCAGTCACTTAGTTTGGCAATCAGTCAGTCAAGTAACTACACAGCCGGTCAATCAGCCAGAAAGACACCCAGTCCGTCAGCAAATATTGATTAATAGAAGTGTCCTGCTCCTTTTAACAAATCAAATGTTGAGTCTTAGCAGCCAACCTCAGTGCACACACACGCACACACACACACACACACACACACACACACACACACACACACACACACACACACATGGATACACACATCCCTGACTCAGGAAATGCAGCTCTCTAAATTAACACTGACACACATTTTAACACTTCACAATGAGCTTCAACAGACGCAGACCAGTGAACACACTGTGTGTGTGTGTGTGTGTGTGTGTGTGTGTGTGTGTGTGTGTGTGTGTGTGTGTGTGTGTGTGTGTGTGTGTGTGTGTGTGTGTGTGTGTGTGTGTGTGTGAGGTGCTATAGGAATATAAAAGCCCAGACTGGTGATGTCACCCGGTGGCCCTCCATATTGAGTCTGGTGTTGCTATAAATCAGTAAAGAGCTTGTTGAGCTTAGGTGTGAGTGGTAAATCAGTTGATAATCACACAACCATCCCACAAACACAAGCGCACATCATTTTTGACTGTTTTCTGATACAGTACAGTTGTGTTTCATACTTTTGTTGAGGTTTTTGATATTCCCCCCTTCATCCTTCCACCTGTTTGATGAAACTCTCTGACCCTCTGTTAAAAAAATCTGATCTGGCTTGACATAAATGGGTAAACTTACTAAAACACAGACACACAAGTACACATAGAGACTCACAAAAGTAAAAGCAGGTTTGCCCCCATTCTGTCGGCCATGGCTAGCTCACCTTGACAGTCACAACATGCTGAGTGCCTTCTCGAAAACACACAAACAGAGGACACAAACAAACACACTGTATTCACTCAGACACACAAATAGAGCACAGTGTGCTTAAATAAAAGCCACTACACAGGCAACAAAAAAAAAAAAAAAAAAAAACACAACATAATCTTACTAAGCTGACAAAAATGTATACATATATTTAATACAGTAGTACTTGCAGTTTATAAGGATTGTTTCAGTTGCCATTACAAAACCACTAAAGCCCAGTTATTCTTCTGAAAGGAGCACATTTAGAAAGACAAATAATAAATGTTCATAGTGACAGCAAACATTAAAATACTTTGTTCTATGCTGATTCTAAAAAAGTACATTATTCACAGGTTTCTCTAATGTTAAATTTTGAAACATCCTCATGGAACAATATGCTGCGAAGAGGCTGACTTCACGCTTAGTAATTTGGTTTAGTTCAATGTCTCAATCAGTTTTGACTCTTTGGTGCTCTCAAGAAGACAAATTCTTATGTTTCCAGTCCCTGCTGATCATTTTTAAACCCTGTTGGGCATATTTCATTTCCATTTCTTATATATTTATTTAAGGAGCTTTATAACACATTTTGGGGCTAGATGTCTCAGTCTAAAGAATGTGTGTTGCCTCTGTGTATGTGTGGCATGTTTGTTTTGGTTTTATTGTCCACAGTTATGCATTAGAGACGTTTTATTTTCCGCCGCACCACAACAACGGTTTCCTCTTGCAGCCCATATAAACAAACACAGCCCTGTTTGCAGATGAATACAAATATTGATTAAATCAAATTAGGAAAAGAATATTTGATATCTGAGCTTTATGTTTGGATTAAGTTGGGCTTTCTTTATTAGATTAAGCCTCTGGGTATTGGAGGCATTTCATCAATATGAGAAAACAGAGGAAGGAAATCATTTCCCCGTTTCTATGCATTGGTTTTCCTCTGTCTTATTTACCTCACTTCTTCCACTATTTGCTTTTTGTGTTTGTGTGATTCTAGTCTTTCAGTAACAGGGGGATCAGTTTATAGAATTCAGCTGATGAGTAATAAGATCTGTCTTTTAGAGATTTGGCATAAAAGTCAGTTAACAATATGCAACACAAACTTTGTTCGTAATAATAATTGTTATAAAAGCTTGAGCAAAGATATCTTTCTCATTACAAAAAATGAATGCATAAACATGACGTTTCAGCTGTGAAGCTTTGTCAATGTTGCCTTGCATTGGAATGTGTCCAATGAGTGCATGTCTGCATTACATTTGAAGAGAAACTGGGAACTATGATATCTCCGTCTGTCCTGTGTGCGAGAATCTGTTTGGTTTACACTCACAAAAGCATACCTGCATATTCAGTCTCTGAGGGCACGTTCAGTCTTTGTTGACTCTACTGTCTCTCCAATGGTCCTGTGTTTGTATTGTCATCACCGTGTTGACAGTGTTTCCATGACAATGTGCCTAGGATGACACCCAAACACCAGTGGCTGCAGGTGCCTGTTTAAAAACACAAACATTCACACACACGCATGCACGCACACACACACACTGACATTACCTCTATCAGGTAACACCTTACTGATGACAGATACCTTATGCCTAGAGAGGTGAGCTAACCTGACACACATCACAAAGAAAGACACACTCATGCACACACAGCCTTCACACTTGGTTGCTGTCGCTGGTTACATGTGTCACAGCAAATCAGAGCCAAATCTTGAACAGAAAAAAAAGATGTCACTTTGAGAGGAGAGGGAGTGTATGTGAAGTAGAGCTCATAAAGAAAAAAATATTCTACAACTGAAGCCTTCCTAATTGTATTACTAACATCTGAATGAAATGTATGTTTATGAAGAATTATACTGATTTTAAAAGTGGTGTCTGATGAAAATCAGTTGTTTTAATGACGAGCCTCTCAGTGAAAGTAATTTAATAGTTCTTGAGAAATAAATCCATGAAAGTCATACATTAGATGTCCGTAAAAGTAGAAAAAAAAACACAAATATTGAAGTCATGAGATTTGTGCTCAGCAGCCCTTTGCTGTTTTTCTTATTAGTTTGATTACATTAGCAAATCAAATTCATTTGTCTATCAGCCTTTGAGACACAGCCTGCAATCTGAGCACACTGACTAATCTGCATCAAATAAAGTCTTCCACACACACACACACACACACACAAGAAGCACACACATCAGAGGGAAGCTGCATACGTAAGCATGCACATAAGTGTGCATGCAAAAAGACGTTCATCATAAACACACCTAAGAAAATAGGTATACTCTTAACACATACACCAGACTCTATAGCACTTGTGCACATTGCAAGTGTACAAATGCACACACACACACACACACACAGACGTGCACAGTTTTATAATATGTGACATCAGATGAGCAGTAACAAATAAATCAGCAAACCATCTGAGCCCATCATCATCGAAGTCATCACTAGCAAACAGTCAGCTTTTACCACTTTCAATTTGCTTTTGTCTTTTTGTGTGTGAGTGTGTAAGTGTGTGTGTGTGTGTGTGTGTGTGTGTGTGTATGTGTGTGCGGTGCATGCTTGGGACGGAGAGAGAGAGTGAGAGACCTAGACATGGAGAGAGCGAGAGAGATGATGTGATGTGATATGATATGATATGCTGGCGGGGCATAAAGATAGATGATCATAATTACGCACAGGCCAAACTCCATTTCAAATCATCATCATCCTATTCTATCTGTTGGAGCACACATGTACACACACACACGCGCGCGCGCACACATACACAGACTCACACACAGGCCCACCAAAAGCAATATATAGAGTTCGCACACATGCAGGGATTCACTGACACACACCCACACCCACATATCACACACCTATGCATGCAGCAAATCTAGTGGAAGGAGGGACAGGCTTGTCATGGCATCACATTATTTCTGTCGGTTCATGCAAAGTTCACAGACGGTTATGAAATGGTTATTCTCTCACTTTCTCTCTCTCTCCACACCTCTTTCCTGATAATTCTTCACATCTATCCACCTTTACTCACTCTTTCTGTCCTTATCTCTCTCTTTCTCCCCTTTTTGTATCTTTCCTCTTATTTTCCAGGCTGTTCTCTCCCCTCCAACAATCACCTCTTCACTTCTTCCTTCTTCTCCCTCTCTCATCTCTGCCATTTCTCATGTCCCAATCTCCCCCCTCTCCTTTCCTTCCTCTTTCTGTTTCCTCTTCTACCTTTCTCCTTTTTTCCTACCTCCCTCGGTCTCTCTCTCCGATCCTCCATCTATCGTTCTTAAATAACAGTGTGAAGGATTCATCCTTTCCATCAGGGAATAAGCAGTTGGGAAAATAGGATTGGAGCGTGCCTGTCAGCAGCTGGGTACGACTTATGGTCCGTGCACACAGCTCACACAGAGGCAAATTATATATATACATTATATGGATATAAACACACAAAGGCAGGAACATCTCAGGAAAAGAAGAAAAACATGTTGATAGGCAGCTATTCAGCAAAGGGCCAACCCTTTATCTGGGCAGGGCATGATAGTGATTAAAGGCAGCAGCTACAAACTGTGTCTCAAGGAAAATAGATATATGTCCAATTGATTGTAGCAGTAGATGAGCAAGTTTGTTTTTAGGGTTTTTTTACTTTTTAGAGTACTGTCTTTCAGCAACTATTTATCCAATCCAATCCAATCCATTCCAGGTTTATTCATTAAGCACATTTAAAAACAATAAAACACTGACCGAAGTGCTGTACAGTAAAAATTAAAAACAATAAAAATAGATAATTAACACGAACAAGGAACACATTAAAAAACAGGGGGACATAAATGGTTCAGTAAAAACATGATTAAAAGGCCAAGTTCTCAGGAGTTAAAAGCCAGGGAGTAAAAGTGCGTTTAGAGTGTGTCAAGCAGTTTCTGAAACTATAAATACACGTGAAAATCAGCTCAAAGTTGTGTGTGAAAGCAGACATTTTTGGACTTACTGGCTGTATAAGGTTGATGAAGTCAAATCTACTTAAGCTAAAAATCACTTCAAGTCTAGCAAAACATTTTTTTGCATTTTAAGAGTCTTAATGACTGCATTTTCCATTACATAGAGCTCAAACAAAGTAGGTGTTGATGTAATGCACAGGTACATTTAAACTGTAGACATTGGGACAAATTTTGTGGATTGTTGGGACAAAAAAATACTCTTTATTTTTAGGTATGAGTATGAAAATGTAATAATAATAACGCATCAGATTTCATAAAGCGCTTTATCAGAGACCCTTAAAACGGACCCACTCACACAGTCACACCTTGATGGTGGTAAACTACCTTAGTAGTCACAGCTGCCCTGGGGCAGACTGATGGAAACATGGCCGCCAGTTTGCGCCTACGGTCTCTCCAACCACCACCACACAACACTCACAATCATACACCAGTGGAGGACACACACTGGGAGCTAGGTGTGTTAAATGTCTTGGGGGGAATCAAACTGCCAACCTTCTGGTTATTGGACGACCGCTCTACCTCCTGAGCTAAAACTGTAAATTTTTTAACCAATACTCTCAGATGTAAGGGAGTCAGTAAGTCTTAAATATAGCAGACATCTTTACATACCCTGTGAGTTCATTTAACATGTCATTCTAATCATGCCAATAGTTTTGCATTTCCTCCTTTCTTTTGTCGCTTCACTTGTCTCACCGTATGTGTTCAGTTTTCACAGACCCTGCATTAAAAAGTGCGCATGTGTTTGTACTCAACACTTCATCCTTATATGAGTGTGTCATTCCCCACCTGCTATTGGGTGAAGGACCATGTCTGTGGTCTCTGTGGTTCACTGTTCAAGTACTCACTCAACACACACACACACGCACGCGGCACACAGCGGTAATATTGTGTGTATTTTTGTGTCTATTTAATCTTGATGGGATGTTTCATCTGCAGGCTGCTATCACAGCTGGCTGCCTTATTGTCTGGGTCAGACTGATGGGTATGTGTGCGAGTGTGTGCTTGTGATCCAGTATGTGTGTGTTTGCCTGCTAGTATTTTGATTTCTCTATTAGCCTGTAAACATATGTATTATTACCACAACTGTTTATTTGACTGTACAAGAGTAGACATGTTTGAATCTTTTACATCTAAACAATATTTACTTCTTTGAGCAACACATGCATAATCAGGTGCATATCATGAATGTGTGTGTGTGTGTGTGTGTGCTGTCTATCAAGCCACACACACAGCCGTACCAAACCATTGGCTTGGTTGCTGATGATGACATATGAGTTCCTGGCCTTGGTAATGGCTGTTAAATCTCATAATTACACGCTTCTTTATTGCAATGCATAATGACCCTGCAGCACTATTGGACAATTAATTAAGATTTTCAGCCCAGGCTTTTTCAGGCTCAGATGAGGAGGTGGAATGAGGTCTAATGTTCTTGTCTTCAAGCTAGGACATTAAGGCATGATGCTGTAGCAGA